CTTCCCAACCTCCCTGCACTGCCTCATTTCATGTGCATCGGAGCTCCCATTGACCGGACCTAATGAATGCAGCAGGTGAACGTAAAACACAGACGAGACGTCGCAGCCGACCTGTCGCTCTCCTCCACGCAGATGACGTTCATTCAAGCTCTGCTCCTCTAGTGCAGTTGACTCTAATCCCCTCCCCTCCTCCTGTGATCGCGATACTTCCGACTATCCGCGTCTCCTGCTCCAGACGTCCACAGCATTTCTGTCTCCTCCTGGTCCTGCTGCTTTAGCTACGATATCTCTTACCCCTCACCTTCCTTTGTTGACAACACTAATGTGCCTCACTTGCTTGTAACGAACAAGGAGGGGAAGGAGAATGAAACTGCGACCAAGGCAGAAATCTCAAGGCAGCAGCAGTGACTCTGAAGTCAAGATCTGAGATAAGTTCTGTTGTGAGATGAAGGGGATTGTACTGAAACATTTGAGAACAACTTCTTTGTGGCGTTCTGAAATTTGTTTGCTATCCGAAGCATCACAGATAGTAGCATATATAAGCAATCTTGCTGTTACCAACGAATGAGAGGAGGAACACAAAGACGATGAGGACGAAAGTATGATTGAATGCCTTTCAAGTATCAGATTTGCTGTGAACGACCTATGTTGACAGTTCTTGAACATAAATGCATTCCTCAAACCATTTACCATGGTAGACCATGATTCATTCTCAGAGATTAAATTAGCCAACAGCAACCAAATCCTAGTTTACCTCGTCTAGCTCTTCAACCTCAACTCGAGATGCGCATGGAGGGGATGGAGATAATTTACAGCAGCTTTCAACTTTCAGGCCATGTGGCTCGAGATGTTCTATTTACTTCATAAATCTCTTTGCCCACTGTGTCAGAACAATTCACATTGTTTTATCCCCTTTTGAATTATCTACAGGCGTCTACCCCTAATCTCTTCTCAGCAGCATGTATCATCACTCTTTTCTTTATCGCGTGCTCTTCTCTCCCTCACTTTGGGGAAGGGACGGGGGTTGGAAGAAAAGCTCCAAGGCAGACTGCTCTTGCTCTGAGTGGTTCGACCTGTTGCCAAAGTCTTCGAATCGCCTTCCAGCTGCACTGATGCCTAGGGACTACCAATTGCTGGGCTACACACCAAGTTGCGACATGTTCAATAGGACCGGCAGAACAAGGATAAGGACGCAGGAGATCGAAGAGCGGGTCGCCATTGTGACGATGGTTGGCTTCATTTAAGGCTGACGGTCGATGACTTCGTTGCCACAACCATCGTCTTCCCGTCATGTTTCATCCCCGTGATCCAATCGCCACGGGAAAGTAGTCCCATTGCAGATATCCTGCAGCCCTTCCCTATGAATTCTTTAAGCTTGTTAGGATGACCCAATTTACCTTGTTTCCTCCCCTGGATTATGCAGATCGTCTTGAAAGTTGTTCTTCAGATTTATGTCCTCTTGTAATCTCGCCTAACCCGTCTGAAACCTGTCTCTAACCTTGAGAGTATCTTTCGGACCGTCGTCTGCTCCACTCAACCATTCGCGCGTAGTGCCTCTTGACAAAGGACCTTGCGAACTCATCCAAGGCCTTGTGATATTCACTGAGGAGACTGCCGACAGCTTGAGCTTCGTTGCATCCGCATCATTCACTATCCAGCTTCCTGTCAAGCATGATGATACATTCGCACATTGCCCGAACTTGGTTGACTCATGCATGCACAAGGAGCCAACCTCTCCCTGGATCATGTTCTCACGAGCAATCAACATGTTTGATAGGGTGATTTTACTGGTAAAATGAATGACTGATATTTTACTACCCCAACTGCTCTGAGGCGAGCTCTCTTGTATTAGGATCTCATCCGGCTCATGTCACCAGTTCAAAAGGTACCAGCTACAAGACTTTTATTTAAAACCATTGTATGGCACCCCACCCAGCCTTGAAACTACTCAAATTGGGAAAAGGCAGGGGTTGTAATTCAATAAAAACCTGGGGTGAGAGAGGGTCCTTATCAGTACAGGCACCACCTATCTGTTCTGCCTGCTGACAAAGGGCCGCGATTGAATTATCGAAAAGGAACGTTTTGGGGTTGATCATTGCTTTTATAATGGAACAGCCACCCCATGTCATGAGCACAAGTACCCCCCTCCTCCTATCTATGCCACACTAGCGACTGGTTCACGAGGACCATGAACTTGCCTCTTGCAAGGCTTAAATGGACCGGTACTATTAATACCTCACTGGTCACCACCCCCTTCACGACCTGTTCTTACCCCAGAAAGCACAACGTTTGATTTACCACCCCCTCCCTCCTCTCAGAATTACGAGGAGGACACGGAGCCATCACGGACCCTACCCACCCTCCTCAGTATCACCGGGCATATTGATTACACCCCACCCTCTTGAACGATTCCCCTACTACCGGTCTTTTTCAATTCCTAAGTACCGGTCATTTTACTTAAAAGATACCCGTGCCCGCATGTATTTTTTGTACCCTACCCCCAGGTCGAAATTTACACCGTCGCCTTCACATTGCACCCACCCACCCCGATGGTCCACAGCAAACTCAAAATGGACAGAGCCGCATGTTGTCTGCGGCATTGGAGCGTCCAATGACTCGTTCCCTCCCCCTTGTTTGTCTTCTCCCTTTCCTCCTCTCTTCTTTCTCTCCACTTTAACTGGTTCTGTACATTGTAGTTCGCTCCAGATATCTCCTTCAGGGCTTGAAATCCCAGCAAACTTCACGAGGGTTGTTTCTACCCCGGAGGATTCTTCCTGTTTGCGTCCATTCTCACCGCAAGAAAAGTTCGGGAAAACGTTTATCTAACAACAATTCGTATTGTCGAACCTTCAAAGTTGCTGGAACAAAAGAGTAGAGGCGTTGCAGGACTCTGGGAGACAAAGTCATGCTACGATTACTTACGTTGATCCCTACCCAGTTCCTCTACTTCCTAGCTGTCATCTTGACGTCATTGATTAGCACCAGGCTGGTGTTACCAGAAGTACCATCATGGATGGTGTTCATCTCGCTGTTTCTACAAGTGCTGGTCAGCATACTTTCGGCCCACAAGTGCATCTCTCATTTGTTGGTGGAACGGGATAGTTTTGAGGAGGTGCAGAAAACGTTCAGGTTGGCCTCGAAATCGCATCAGGTCGTCAGCTCATTGATCCCGTCGAATGTCATGACCAAGTTGCGCGACCGAGAGAACTCGGAGGATTTCCTTGGCGCTCCCATATCAAGGTGCACCGTCATGTTCTGCTCCCTGGAGCCCAAGGAGCTGTTCAGGTCCAGGTCCTCATCAGAGACCTTCGAGCTCCTCGACCAGCTCTTCGAGAAGTTCGACGATGCAGTGGAGGACTTTGGCATGCACAAGTATCAGCATGTGGGAGATTGGTACATCATCACGTGCCCGAGGGCTGCATCGCCGTTCGACGAGGAAGAGCAGTCTAGGCTGTATCCAGACTGCTACTACGAGTCCATGGTGATGCTTGCCATCCGGCTGATGCAGATTGCCTCCAAGCACGTCATCGACGGGCAGCAGGTCGGGCTCAAGGTCGGGCTGCACAGCGGGCCAGCAGCAGGCGCTGTGATAGGAATGATCCGGACCTTCTACTGCGTGTATGGTGACACGACCAACACGGCGGCAAGGATGTGTAAGTACGCCTCCTTCAACCAGATCCTCTGTACAGAGACGTTTGCTGACTCGATCAAGAAGACGGGGACGAAGAAGGTGCAGGTGAACGACCTGGGGAAGATTAAGGTGAAGGGAAAGGGGCTCATGAAAGTTTTCTCCCTCGCGCACATAGACTGGTCGGCGTCGTGCAGTCAGCAAGAAATCGAGTCGTTCGACTCTTGCTCGTCGTCCGACACTTGCCCGTACGATGAAGAGAACCTCTCCAGCCTCATGCAGTGGAAACTTGTCGACCATGGGCAGACTCAGAGCCGCAGCCCCTTGAGCTCGCCAGTTGAATCCCAGCAGAAGGTGGAGTGCGTATGGGAGGTTCTAGCAGACCCGCTCTCCGTCTTCAAGCTCAACCTGCATCAGACTGAAGATCATGCACTCTGCCTCTCGATCGGGCTCCTGCTGCACAAGGCGCTGCTTGTGACTCATCTCATGACGCTCTCAAGGCCCAGCGAGAACATTTACGCCGACGAGAAGCCGTTGGTCGAGATTGCTCGTTTCTCCTCCATCGCCCTGCACTCCTTGTTTGTCGCGCTCTACTACATGTTCTTCCGCTCATTGTTCTGGAAGAACCAGCAAGCTCACTCGAAGGTCCTCGAGCTCTGCATGATTGCATTCACGATCGTCTTCACTCTCTTCACCTCTGGTTACTTGGGAGGGAAGCAAGACGTTGGCGCCGCCGTCTTTTCCCTCAGCTTCTTTGCTATCAACTCCGTTTACCTTCGGATCCCTGCAAAATTTGTGCTCGTCCTGATGGCGTTGATGATGATGCTCTCTGTTGTGATCCAGCTTTCCGATATTCAGTCGTACTGGAGATACACGGCGTGGACGGCGCTGTTTGGGACCTTCGTCCTCACTCTGTGGAAGTCGAAGGATTTGGACAACGGGAGTGACGAGAGGAGTAAGTTCTACAAGACAGTCCACCAGGAGCTTGTCCGCATGAAGGCAATCCTGAGCGATCTGATCCCAGTCAACATAGCGAACCAGATGGTGAATGGCAACGTGAAGATGCCCTGCGTCATGAAGCGAGCTGTGGTGCTTCAGCTGGACATCTGCAACTTTACAGCTCTTTCGCAGAAGGTGGACGCGCTGGAGGTGGCTAGCATGATCCATAAGCTCTTCTCCGAGTTCGACAAGGCGGTGATCAAGCTCTCGCTGTTCAAGATTGACACCATCGGAGACGCCTACATCGTCGCCGGTTGGCTTCCCTGTGAGTCCGACTGGTTCGCGCAGCCCATGACTAGGAAGGCGTGCCAGTCCATGCTCTCGCTCTCGCACATGATGCTTGATGCTGTCTCAGCTCACTCTCTGCAAGGAGGTCCAACGCTGCAGTGTAGGATAGGCATCTCTGTGGGGATCGTGGCGTCGGGGGTGCTTGGGAGGAGGCAGTCGAGGTTCCACGTGGTTGGGCAGACGATGCAGGAGGTCGACAACCTGGAGCAGACCGCGGGGGTCAACACTGTGCATGTAAGCGACAAGTTCATCCAAGGCCTCGGACACCTGCATGATATTGGCGAGAACAAGGCCAAGACCGAGGCAACGCGCCGAAGAAGCTCGCTGATCGAGAAGGATCTGCTTGAGAGGATGAAGGGTAGTACCATCCTGTTGAAGAGCAGGAGGAAGAGCAGCTTGGCAGATAGTAAGATGGAGGAGGAAGAGCTGCCGGGATGGCACTGCGTCTGCTCGCACGAGGCAGGAAGCGACGTTTGCCTTGGATGCCCGGCAAGTCTAAAGGATGGCACCGTGAAGATCGCGAGGACAAAGAGTCTAGAGCAGCAAATGCGGAGCAGCTTCGTGTTGGTGCCTTGTGAGAATGGATGAAGGAGGAGGATATCAAGCAATGAAATTCAAATCCTTTATTATGAACCACCTGGAAGGAGGCGAGGGAGAGGGTAGGAGGGAGATGGTATGGAGAGAAGGGGAGACTGAGGGGAGAACAGGTCAAGAAGAGGACCGGGGGGGAGGTTGGTGGTTGGGGAGGGGAGGGAGGGAGGGAGGGAGGGAGGGATGGAAGGGCAAAGGCAGCGAGCAAGGCAAGAGAGCAGAGAGGGGGGAGAGGGAGATACAGGTAGCCTGGGAAGTATCTAAGCCGCAACCAATTACTCTTTCATTCACGCTCTCACGATCCTCCTTGCTGCTGCCTCCCCCTCCTCCCCTCCTTCCCTGTTGCTGGGAGCATGATTGGTGATGGAGAGAAAAGCATCCCAGAAGAAGTTAACAACGTTTTGCGCCACAACACGATACTGCAGGGGAACCATCCCCTGGTTGACGACCTGGAAAGGGAACCATACCCACACGCCCACTATGAATGTGCTCACCAGCCGCTCCTGCAGCTTCTCCTGCACCTGCTGCATGCTCTGACCCTCCCAGAAGGAAGTGAGAGCGAAGATGGACATGATGAAGAAGGGGGCTCCGAAGATCTGGTCTGCCACTGCCCTCTTCATCGTCACCCCAAGGCTCTTGCCGGGGAAGACTTTCTCCAGCACGTTGAACCATACTGAGAGGCAGGGGCCCACCCAGAGGATCCCGACGAGGACGAGACCGATGCATCTCTTTGCTGACTCCTGCAGCAGGACTTTGCCCTCTCCCTCGCTGCCGTCTACGAGCTGAAGGAAGAGCTCGTACAGCTGGGCAGCAATGTCCGCAAGGCCGTAGGCGATGCCGGTGACTATGCTCTTGGTCCTGATCGGATAGTCCCTGAGCATCCTGTTGAACCACTCGTTGAAGTTCTCTTTCTTCATCCTCTTCAGCACAACAGCTGCTGCCTCGAAGCTGTCAAAACTCCCATCAAACTGACGATCTCCTCCTTCCTTCCCTCCTCCATCGCCGCCGCCCCCTCCGCCCCCGCCGCCACGGCTGCGACCGCCAGTACCACCATTGAGCGAGTCCTCCAATCCTATTCCAACAGTTTCCGACCCCGTCCCACCGAGCAGGGTTGCAGAGCTGTTGAGGTTGAACCCATGTGCGACCTGCTCCTCCACCACAGCCGACGAAGGCGGGTTGCCCTCTAACGCAGCCTTGAGACGGGCCAGAGAAGTCCTCCTCGTCATCTTGAACTGCACGCAAGGACTTGCTTGACATGGCTGAAGCTGAACGCCAAAACATGAGCTGAACGGCTCGATCTTCGCTATCCTCAGTGTGCGCCCGCAAATACAAATCTTGGTGGACGTCGGCAGATAGCGGGTGTGCGAGTGCATGCTCCGGAAGGGCGGGGAAAGTCCTGAGCTCAGGTAGGAGGACTTCTGTAACTTTGAACAAGAGAAGGATGGGATGAAGTTCAAAGCAGGGCTATGTACAATAGAAGAAAGTGAGTTCATCGGCGCCATGGTACAAGGTTGGTTCTGTATAAAGCGTAGCTGGGAGACGAAGAGACGATTGATCTGGCTCCTCACCGGAGCAGAGGACATGAGGTCAGAGGAGGGAGCAGGAGAGAGAGAAGGGAAGGGGGGAGGGAGGGAGGGAGAGGAAGACGCAGCAAGAGCCAGTGCAAGGGGCAACAGGATGGGTGCTGCCAAGCCCATGGCACAATGAAGCTGTCGGGGGGGGGGGGAGCGAAGCTTTTACAAGGGTTTTATAGTGCGCAAAAGGTTTTAATATAGTTTTTTATATATTTCTATTTTTCATGATTCTATAAGGTTTTTAATCCCCGAACGTACCCTCTATTTATTTATATAAGTTATTAAAAGAAGCCAAAGTCAAAAAGAAGTGTTATAAAATAGGGGCCTGGATGGGTAAGGGCCACCACCCACCCCATCAGATTTTACACTGGACTCAAAATCTTGAAGTACCGTTGGATTAAATTCAAAATTGGAGGGTTCTGGACGTGTAACGAACTCAAAATTATAGAAGGGGTGGGTGGGTATCCATGGCTCAAATTGAAGGGGTACCAGAGTTGAATCATGTGGGGATGAATCATGTGCACCGGGATCAGGGTATGGTGGGGTCATTAGCAACGGGTGGGAAAAATCAATGAAGGCCAGATGGGTGGTGGGGGTACATAAAAAATTCAGTCAAGATCAAAAGTATACATGTTATAGCTATTTCACTAGTAAGCTCATCGAAGATTTCTTCGGGTAGCAGTAGTGGAGCAAGTTCACTTCCAAATAGGGGGGTACAACATTGTTCAAGTCTTTCTTGTGAAGGGTGGGGTCGGTGCCAAATGTCGGATCAGCGTACATGACGGTACGAGGGCTACTGGGGGAATAAAATAAAAAGTAGTAGAAGTAGTAGTAGAGTTATAAACCAATCCAACTCAACTTGGCAACAGCCCGCGGCTACGGCGCCGGGCCCTCAGTGCTTGGCGCCGGCGGCCGGGCCGCCGGCTGGGGTCATAGTGGGGATGAGGAGCCGGGGGCCGACAAAGAAGCCCACAGAATGCTGCTTGCTAGGTGGCTGATAGCAGCGGTCGGGATGGTCGGGATGGCGAGCGGCTTCAATCCAACGAGCTTCTTTCAAGTCGGTAGCGTGCGAGGATCGTCCTCAGCCTCCTCCAGCCTCTTGTGCCCGACGCCGCCGTTGATCCAGCGTTCAAGCCGGACGCATGCATTGAGCAGTAGGAGGAAGACTCTGCAAGGCAGAGGAGGGATCCGAGGGCTGAGTGCGATGTTCACAGGGATAGTGGAGGAGATGGGAGCCATCAAAGAAGTCAAGAATGGCTTCAAGGGATGGGGAGAGTGGGAGGGATCAGACGGAGGTATGACGCTGAGAGTTGGAGGGGGGAAGGTGCTTGAAGGTTGCTACGAAGGCTGTTCGATCGCTGTGAATGGCGTCTGCCTGACAGTCACTGAGTTCGACTCAGAGTCCTTCACAGTTGGTGTTGCTCCTGAGACCATCAGGAAGACCAACCTCGGCCTCCTGGGCCAGGGAAGTCCCGTCAACCTTGAGAGGGCAGCGGCCATGGACGGGAGGAACAGTGGTCATATGGTTCAGGGGCATGTGGACAATGTGGGAGAGATCATAGAGAAATGGCAAGACAAAGAATCTCTGTTTGTAAGTTGCTCTGCTACTCTTCCTTCTTCCCTCCTGTGACTAGTGCGATCAGATCAAAGTTAAGGCGCCGCGGGAGTTAATGCAGTACATTGTTCCTAAGGGGTTCATTGCCATCGATGGGACTTCTCTGACGGTATTCCTTCTTATCGAAGCTAGTCTGTGTGCTCGATGTGTAAGGAGAACAGGAGGAAGCAAGGAGAAGGACATAACAAGATGGAGGCGATTGAGATGATGGAGATTACAATGAGGAGAAGTTGAGGATGGGGGTGGTGGTGATAAGGATAGTGATGTCGCATGTAGATAATGTATACATATTGGTGACAATGATGATGACAATGGTATGCAGGTGTGCGAGACGGACGTTGCTAACGGCTGGTTCACTTTCATGTTGATCGACTACACACAGCAGCATGTCATCATCCCGAAGAAGCCCATCGGTGACAAGGTTACAGTTCGCCACTCCCTCCTCCTCCTCTTTCTCGTCCTCCATCAGCCGTTTGATCTCTCATCCTCTATACATCTTTCTTCATTTGTTCCCTCTGCTTCTTCCTTCTCTACGAATCTCCTCGTCTCGTTTCTGCCATCTACCCTTGTCTTTCCCTGTACCTCGCCTGTCCCTCTCTCTTGATCTAGCCGCCATGTTGAAATGTTCAGCAGGTCAACTTGGAAGTCGACGTGATCAGCAAGTACGTCGAGCGATCGCTTGGCAACATCAATGATAGATTGTCACGACTTGAGGTCGCCAACGTCCTCCATGTCTTGCGTCTGATCCGTCTGTTTCGCAGGAGAAAGTTTTCGGCAAGTCGTTTTCTTCCGAGGTGAATCTCAACATCTGACGCACTGACGTGTCAATGTTGACCTGAGATCTCAGGCGGGAACCCGTCTGGACAACCTCGAGCAAACATGGAAGTAGGCGGGCGAGAGATGACAAGGCTCTCTTGAGATCGACTGCTCGTTCTCAAGCCTGCAAGTCAGAGCGGGAGGAGATAGCGCGAATGGACATTTATTTAGATTTTGATTACAGTTTGTGATGAGATGATGCTGAAGATACTTCATGGACTAGTTTTGACAAGAGAGCTTCAGTTTGCGACAACTTCATGCGTGTCTCGCTCAGTTCCTAGCAGGATTTTAGCAGGGTAACGCTGCACAGGAACCAAAACTCACCTCATCCTTTCTGACAGTCTTCTCCTCCACACCTCTCAGGAACTCTATGATTTGCTTTTCTTTCTCGTGGATCTTCGCAGCAAAATGAGATTCTTGTTTCTTGATCTCCTCCTGGTAGAACGACACTTTACGCTGTAGATCTTCTACGCGTTCCTTTGACTGTTTGAAAATCAAGTTCATCTCTTCGATTTCAGATTCTCTCGAAGCTATCAAGTGGGATTGCCCCAACTCTGTCTTCTCCAACGTCCTGACCTGTTGGGAGAGAGCATGGTTTGTTCTCTGCAAGTCCACCATCTGTGCTTCGAGCTGCCTGTTCCTTTCCAGCGCCTCGAGCAGCACGTGAGCATCGGGGATAAAGCTGCCATGGGGGTCCACACGTTTAAGCTTGGAGATCATCTCCACCAGGTCCTCCCTCGTGCTCTTCTCTCTCTCGTACTCCTTCTTCAACTTGTCGTGCTCCTGTCTCAGCTGGTTGTGCTCCGCATCCTTCTGCGCCAAAGACTCTTCCAACGATCTCAGCTCAGCCCCTAGGATGCCGTGCTCGTCATCGAACCAGTTTGCCAGCAGGTCGTGATGGATGCCCGTCAGTGGTTGGCTCGGCACTTGCTCTTGACCTACTGGTCTCTGAGGTTTGTCCAACAGCTGTCGAGGCATCGCAGTCAGAAGGGAGAACTTCCAGCAGAGGTCGTCACCTCCTGCAGCTCGAACCTCTCGTCCAAGAGTTTGCTGTTCGCCTGCTCTAGCTGTGCTCGGAAGTGATCGAACTCATCCTCGGCGGCACTTTGCTTCCAAATGAACGAGTTCACCTTGTTCCTCCTTCACCGCTTTCACACAACCTCCTCCTCCTCCCTCACCTCCTGGCACATGCCGATCAGCTCCTCGTTGATCGCCCTCAACGCGTCCGACACGCGCGGGTCCTCCAGCCTTCGATTCGCCTGCCCCTCCTCGTGACCCTCCAGGTAGTTGTGGATCAGCTGGGCGGGCAGTCAGCCTCAGGCAGCGGCATCAGAGGAGACTGACTGACCTCGGGCCAGCGTTTCGAGTCTTCCTTGTCCGAGACCTGCCAAGTCCCAAGTCAAACCTGCTCCTCTGCTGTAACCGTGCTCCATTACTTCTCTCCACAGCACCACATTCTCGCGTTGAGCGTCCGCCAGCTCGGCTTCCAACCTCAGCTTCTCCTTCACCAGCCTGTTGGACTCTAGCTCTCTCTCCAGCAGCTGGCTCTTCAGGTATTCGTGACTTTCAATGTACTCCTTGCTCAGCTTCTCTGACTCCAGGACCTGTTCGGCTCTCAGACATGTCATGCAACGTGTCCGGGAGGAAACCTCATTCCAGATCGTCGACAGCTCTTCGCTAACTTCAATCAGCTCTTTATGTATTTTCTGCTTCTCAGACTGAAGCTGAACACACTGAAATCACAGCTGTCGTCAGGAAACCATTCGGGACTAGAACAACTCACTACCTTCTGCCTCAGCAGAATCACTTCTTGCAGGGATTCTTCCAAATTTCGTTTGTACATCTCCATATCCGACAGGCTATCAGCAAGCTTACAAAAAGTGTCAGAGATTGGAGCCAGGTTGCAGAACTCCTACACACCTCTCCTCGAAGGATGCCGACTTCTCTGTTGCTGTTCCTAAGACTCTCTTCAAGGGCTCTCACCTGGTCTTCTCGACCCACGTGATCGCCTCGGAGGTTCTTGTTCTCTTCCTCCAGGCGTTTGAATCTTTGAAACAAGTCGGTCTGGTTCAAATCCCTCTCGTCCATCGCTCTCGTCCACTTCTGGACTTGATCTTTCAGACTTTGGTTTTCGACCTGTAGGTCCGAAAGCTCGTGCTTCAGATTGTATTTTTCTTGCAGAAGTTTTGCATGCTGATCAATCTGGCATTTCATCTCTTCAATCTGATCTTTATAGTCTTCTATTTCTTGTTGGAGCACAAGCTTTTCCGACACAGCCTTGTCTAGTCGCACTGCTTTCAACTTGTACTTCTCAATCTCCTGGGCCTGTGTATCCATCTCAAGAACCAGCCTTTCATTCTGTTGTTGGAGGTATTTCAGATTTAGCTGCAACTGATTCTTTTCGTTCACTACTCGTTCCAAGTCATCCCTGACGTCTTCAAACCTGGTTACGCTGTCCACGCTGCCAATCAGTGAAGCCAGAGTTTCAAGCGTTGTGAACTTCTCGTTTTGTAAGACATTGTTGAAGGAGATGAGGTCCTCATTAGCACAGTTTGACTCCTGTAGAGCAGCTTTCACTTGCTCCATCTCCTCGCACAACTTGCTCTGCTGCTCTATCAGGTAGTCGTTCTCTCTCTGCAGGTCGGCCAACTCATCGGAACATCTAGCCGCAAAGTTTGACTCCAAGTCCAAAGAAGCATGCAAATGCTCTGACTGCAGCTCAAGAAACTGGTTTCTGAGGATCGTAGTCAAGTACACTTCCCTTGCCTCGTCAAGAGAAGCAAGAATTGTGTTCAGAGACACAAAGTTCTTGTTTATCTCATCCTCCTCGGAAGCCAGTCTAGAAATCATGCGTGTTACAATGTGGGCAAAAGAAGAGAAGGAAAAGGTTGTAATCGTACATGGTCTCCAAAGATGTAAGGTGATGTTCTTTCTTACGAAGCAAATCAGGCATGTTCATGATGACATGTAGAGATTCTTTGAAATCTGATTGGACGGAAAACATCTCCTGGTTGAGCCTGCGGACGATGGGCTCGACTTGAGACAAAGTAGAACACAACTGATCTGTCATTAAAAAGAGGGTGAGTTTGAATGAATTGACGAATTCACCGTCAAAGTAGAAAAGCATCAAACGATACCATTCGAAGATTGAGCTGCTTGAAGCTTCATCGCAAGCTCATCGGCCTTCATCCTGGTTTCCTGCAAACTGTAGAAGTTCTTCTTGCAATTGACCTCTCGCACTTGAGCGGCTTTGAGAAATTGTTTGACGACTTGCTTAAGAGAGACGACAATCCTGTGAGGGTTTGCGACAGCACCAGGACTTATCGCGCCATCGGAAGTGAAAGGATTGAAAGATGACTTGGACTCGAAACTTTCGTTGGGAAGGGATTCACCAAACCCAGAGGAAGTCAGCGAGGCATTCAAAGAATCTTTCATCGCTGCTTCATCGACTTCATCGAGAATACTTCCATCCTGAGAAGCATGTCTGATGTTGCCTTGTGCCTGCGCATTCCACAAGATTTCTCGGTACGATGTCTCGATCTCCGTCTTGATCATTTCCACATCTTGCAGTATTTTCTTTTGAAACTCGAGCTCTTGCGAAGTCTTCTTGTTTTGCATCTTCAGGACAGCGAGATTGTGCGACAATGTTGAGTTCTCTTGTTCCAGGTTGTGCAAACCTTTCAGTATCTGATTCCTTTCCATGGACATCTTCTGGTTCAGTTCTAGCAGAGATCTTTGCTTCAGCTGGAAGCCTTCTAGTTTCGACATGTTTGCTTTGGAAGCGTTGTAGAACGAACTCGTTAGCTCAAAGACGTGCATGCACTGCTGCTCCAACCGGGAGACACTCGACGTGAGTTGGAGGATGGCCGGGTCATGTTGCCTGAGTTGCTCATGCAGATGTTGGATCTGATTTTCTTTGCACTTCAGATCCTCGGAGAGAGAGGAGACCTTCCTCTTCGCTTCACTGTCCCTCTCATGCGACATCAACTCAGTTTGTCTCAGCTTCTCCTGGTTCTGCTTCCACTCGTCGTTCATCGCCTCCAACTTCTCCTGCAGCATCAAGTTTCTCGATATGATCTCGTCTGTCTGCTTTGTCTTCAACTCAAGCTCAACAATTCTCTTCCTCATCGTTGCCATCTCACTAAGCAGCACCTGACGCATGGCAACACACGTCAGGCCAACTAGAGGGGTATTGAGGAGAGACTGTCGTACCGCCGTGTGGCTCTCCGAAGCCGCGAGCTTTCTTCTCAGAGAATCGATTTCAACTTCATGAGCTTCGTATATGAGAGAGCTCTGCAAGGAAGTCAACCCTCGACCCTCCACCGACCGACCAGTCACCGTCAGGCTCGTGTTTCCCATCTTGTTCAGAGAGACACCACTGGGCTGAGGGTCTCTTGATCTCATCTCCCAAAGGTTCACAGAGGTTCCGTTGCTCTCAAACTCTGATGCTCCAGCAGCACTGGCAAACCTCCCGCCTCCTCCTCCTCCTGCCCCCATCCCCACCACTGCTCCTTCTCCCTTGCGCATCGAATCGCTCGTCCTTCCTCTTAGTTGAGCTATCAGCGCGTTCTTCTCCTCAGCGAGGGCGGCTGCTCGTCGAGTCATGTATCCTAGGTCTCCCGTATACGACAGCTCGTTCCCTCTGTCCTCTCCTGTCCCTCCTTCCCTCCCGCCCCATCCCTCCTCCTCTTCCCCCCCTCCCGCCATTGCTACCGGTTCCCTTCAAAAATTTGTACCACGCGAACTCTACCCCCGCTGGGTTTTCAGTACCCCACCCTCTAAATCCCAGTACATGACCCACCAAGTTCTGGGGACATGTGGACCCCTACCCCCTCTGAGGAACCCTGGAGACGAAGGCGGGTCTACTTGCTAAGCTTCTATGATACATGAAAAGAATAAAGAGAGGAGAGGGGAGGAGCGGCAGACTCAGACTAGCTCAGCGTCCTTGTCCTCCTCCCACTTGCCCAGCACATTCTTCTGACCCTCCTCGCACACTGAACGCATCACGACGCCTGCGGCTGGAGACCAGCGTCCTTCTGGCCCCCTCCTTCGCTCCTGCCGCAGACTAAATCAAACTTGCTGCAGAGCAGTTCAACAAGCGTACTTGTTCTTGTTGTTCGGCCCTCTGCCTTTGGTGATGACCTGCAGAACTCGTCAGCGATGAGGGAGGGAGGGAGGGAGGGAGGTAAGGATGGGAGGGAGGGAGGGAGGTAAGGATGGGAGGGAGGGAGGGAGGGAGGTAAGGATGGGAGGGAGGGAGGTAAGGATGGATGGGAGGGAGGGAGGGAAGAGAGGGAGGGGTGGTGGGGGGAACATGCCTTCCACGCGCCGTGGACAATCTTCCAGAGCCAGAGGAAGTTGAGACCTGAGCAAAATAAGGGCACAAAGACAGAAGCAGATGGCGACCTGTTAGTCCAAACGAGCACAAGACAAGCATGACACGATGAGGCTCCATGATGCTGAGCGAGCAAATGAAGTAAGCAGAGAGACGCTGAGTGAATGGCTGGGTCACCTTCCCTCCAACACTCGCCCTGACACTGTCCTGAGCTCCGGGTTCGCAGCTCCTCTGTCGGTTCACTCTGTTAGGGACAGGAGGAAGAGTAGAGGAAAGGCTGACGTGAGTACTGAGATCAACTCGAGCACGCGAGGCAGAGTCAGCTTGGCGGAGAGGAGGACGCGGAGAATAAATCCTGAGCACATGAGGACCGCAAGCACCTGGCAAGACAATCAAAGGAGGAATCGTCGACGAGAGGAGGAGCACAATGCTTCTCGAGCCCTTCAGTTGCTTCGCCTTCGCTGCCTGGAAACAAGGCTCAGACCGCCTGGCTGGTGGGCAGCTAAGGATCCGCACCTGACCGAACGCTACGGGCAGCGCGCAAGTGCATTCGACAGAAGTGAGCATGGTAGCTTCTTCAGTGAACTCTCCTTTGGTCAACACCTGACGTCAAAGATCAAGCCTGCTCTACTCTCGACAGCCTCCTGTCACCACTATGAAGGCTGCGACCGCCAGGAAGTGATGCAGCCAAATGTCCTTCCTGAGGCCCGTCTGGCTTCCCGTGTCAGGCTCGACGTCACTCACCACCGTCATGCTCACTCTGTCTTGAGCGACATTCCTTGCAGCTGCTTTCTCCATAATCTCTTGCCGTTTTGTCCGGACAATCTGCGAACAAAGGAACATCACAACCTCGCATCCTTCCCTCCCCTCCCCCATCGCGCAAACACAAACCTTGTCATCCGAATTTTCAAGGACTGCAGACGCACACATGGCAGGGATGGCAATTCCATTGAAGAGCATCTTCGTCGGACAGAGACTTCAGCGATGCAAACAAAACACTGAACCCGGGCCATCACCTCGAGAACAAGATGCGAGAATCCGGTTTGCAGGATCAGAGGCTGGAGATCACAACCAAAATCACATCGTGACAACACCGCTAGCGAGATTGTCTCTTGATGACGTCACCTGGATGTTCATCAAGGTACTCTTGGGATTCCAGGCTGCAGCCAGCGACAAGGACCCTGGCACGCGAATGGGCGAAACGAGCAGCACAGGAGAAAAGGTTAGTGCACCTAACAGGCCTAAGAAGCCGACATCCGCCACCTTGCAACAGAGAATGAGATCTTTCTTCTAGCAAGACACTATCATTCCACCTTAACAACTGTGTCGCGCATGTAGGGGTTCGAACACCAGCAGATCAGTGCCTTGTTGGCTGGAAACACATGTTGAGATGTCCAGGGACGACTGAGATGCCAAATGACCTGCATGCAATCCAGAGATGAAAGTTCCCGGTCCGAGGAGCGAGCAAAGGATCGGGCTCCTTGCTGGGCTCGGCGACTTTGGGCTCCATGGTCCAAGCTTGAACAACATCAGCATCTTACTGCTGCTTCCTTCGTCACCTCAGCTCGGCGCTGGAAGTTGCCAGCCAAAGGCAGATTAGCAGGTTTCCAGTTCTGTGACATTCGGATATAAGCCGAAATGAGAGGGAAAAGTGAAGTTTAGCGGACATCAAGAAGGAGGACACATTCCGATTCCACCAAGAAGAAAAAGATTCCGAGGAGGAGCAAAGGACTGTTCAGAATCGTCAGACTTCTCGATTGCAAGGGCAGAGGCAACAAAGTGGCTGAATTTCTTATGGGAAGACAAGATCTCTGTGTGGGTCATCAAGCGGACCTCTTCATTTTCGGCCAGATTTCGTCAGTCTGCAGAACAGAAACGAGACTCAGTGTTCTGAGGAACGAATCGCAAAGGATGCGGCTTCAAGAGAGGATCACCGAGACTTCCACACCCTGGGTCTCTGCCCCTAGAATCTCTTTCTCCGTTCCTCTTTCAATCTCCCGGGATCTCCCTGCCTCCCTGCCCTTCTTCCCGCTTCCCTTCCTCCTCTCCCTCCTTCCATGGCCTCCCGGCGCACGGGCAAATTGAAGTAACGACCTTCCGATACAAACAAGTCCGCCTCAGCCGAAAGGGGTACTGAGCGGCCCGGGGCCGCCGTGACTCACTCAGCCGGCGCGTCACCCGTCTCAGTGACTCATCAGCCCGGCGGCCTACCGTACTAGTAGACTCGAAGCTCCTCAGGGCCTAATAGGCTCCCAATCAAACTTCCCTGGCGGTGCTAAGGCGTCTCAGCCTACAGTGAGGGTGCCGGGCACACTTCAACTCAGATCATCTTAGTCACCGGGTGTCCGACTACTACTTTACTAGGCTAACAGCTCACACTGAACCATCATGGTTGCTTGCCGGCTGGTCGTGCTTCATGTGACCCGCCAGGGGGAGCTCGGCACTGTCACAGTCCTTGACAAAAACGCATTTCTGGCAGGGAGGAAGTTTTGAGCATTGAGGGCACCATGACGGCATGCGCGAGGTTCCTCTCTTTCTCCGGATGTTGTTGGGAGCCATCAAAAACTGATGTCCGAGTCTGCACTCCCACAAGAGCTTGGTGTTGGAACCTTTGTACTCCTGTGACAAGCATCGGCCTCCATGCAGCGCTGCCGTCTCATGCATGTCGTGTATCGTCAGCCTCAAATTTTCCTTGCGACATTCAGGGCACCAGAATCCTCGGAAGATCGTCTCAGCTGTTGCGTTCCATACATGGCCGTCGGAGCATTTCCACATCATCTTGTCCTTCATCTTGACGTACTGCTCAGACAAGCATGAGCCTCCCCGCGATGAGGCGATCTGCTTGAGCGTGTAGAACCTCTGTAGCTTGTTTCGACTTCCTTTCCTGGCATAATGCCGACCCCTTCGATGATGTCGTGAAGGTGATCGCGGGGTCGCTTTTTCAACTCAACCTCTGATTCACTTTCCAATCGAATCTCTTCTAGCCGGCTGGCCACGTCTTGGTCTGTTACGCAACATGATTTGTCCATGGGCATTGCGACAAGTCGGCGAGCAAGATTCCTGGCTTCCTGCTCTATTACACTTGAGCTCATGTGAGATCGAGACAAGTCTTTGATTTTCTGCACAGTCGCAGAATATTTCAAGGCTGGAATGAGCCTTTTTGCTTCAAATTCGACATGCTCCTTCACCAGCTCTAAGATTTTCTTGTACTTGGTCTTTAATGCCGCCCGCAAAGTCTCGGATTCATCACCACAGTCCTTCAGAATGGTTTGTAACGAGTCCATTGCGAGGAGAACATGGTCCAGCTGCTCGATCAGCGGGAGCCTACTGTGCAGCTGCTGCTGAAAGTTACACGCGCTTGAGAGGTAGATACATCTCTTTGCTTCGAGCAGGAGGCCGACCTTGAAGTGAAGCCTCGAGAACAACGTTGATGTAGTGGAAACGTCCTCGCTTGCGTTGTTGTTCAGCTGCTCTCTGAACTCCTCCAGGTCTTCCTTCAAGCGGTTGTTCACAAAGGAGAAGAACATAACACACTCCCGCACACTCGGCTTCTGGTCCGACTCCGTCTTGAGGCTCTTGAGAACGCTATGGCTCAGCCAATGGATCAGAACCTGAAAGTACGTTTCCTCAACGTACATGTCAGTAGTAGTGAAGTAATGCTTCACGCACGAGATGGCCAGGAGAGGCAAAAGAATATCCCGCTCTCTGTCCATGTTGCCCAGGATCTGCCCTTTCAAATTCACCACCCAATCGTTTATCATCGAGATGTTTTCATGACTTTGGCCAGTGAGCGAGGGGCGCAAAGACTTGTCCATTTTCAGCCACACGCTGTGCTGTAGCCCCTGTCTGGCAAGCAGAGCAGAGAGTTGGACAAGATGGACATACCATTGTCGCAGCTCGTGCTGTCTCGAGCTCTCTGCATTCAAAATCTGTTGCGACATGTTGTGAAATCTCTCGGCCGTGAGCTTGCCGACCTTCTCTTTCCTCTTCAAAGTCCTCTGCTCATGCACTTCCATTATGAGTTCGTTGATTCTCGATAGGCTGGCTTTCTGAGAGTCCAACAAGGCCCGGACAGCTGCCTTGGGGTTCCGCAGAGGACTCCAAGAACCTGACGTTGAGCCCTGTAGGCCTTCTGATTCATAGCTGAACGTGAAGTTCACTTGTCTTCCTCTAGGTTGACCTGCTGTCACCACTGCCGTGGGTGCAATGGGGACACTTAGATGGCGAGGTACTGAGCTGGTCAACTTCCGAAAGCAGACATTGGGAGGTGAAGGGAACAAAGGGATGAACGAGTTTGTGCGCGCAAAATGTGCCACCAGACACAAAGTAGCAAGGCTGACCTTTGCAGATTTCACGGCAAAGGAAGAGACCATCCTGTGTTCCTGTCTCGCGCTCACTCCCGCGTTCCGTGGCGCGTGCTCGTCCTCCTCGTCCTCATCCCAACTCAACACCCCAGGCAGCCTCCACCCCAGGCAGCCTCCACCTCCATGTTGCTTGAAAGCATACCCGTTATATCCGTTACATTCCTTTACACAGAGGCTGTGCTGCCGATTGCCGTGATCAGAGTTCGGAAGCCTGCCGCCGGGCCCGGCGGCCCGGGCCCGGCCAGTGAACTTTGGCACTGCCGCAACTTAAGTTAGTGTACCTGGCAGGAATCAGTTAAGTTTGGGATACAGCAATCGGCAGGATGAGGGCTCGGGTTGGTTCTCGCTGTCTTTCTAAGTTCTCGCCGTATGGCCTGTGCCGCGGGATTAAATTCACAATGAAGCCCCGGGCCTGCGGTCTTTAAAGCCTGATCGACTGACACTGAAGCTTCACATTTCAGAGGCAAGTTTTTGTACTGATTTCGATATCGAAAAACAACCAGCAAGTCATATATATATATAAAAAACTTGTCCGATCTTTGCATATTCTAAAGTTATAGCTCCTGAAGATGCCAGGCTGATACTGGCAGGGTGGCAATGCCACCGATTGCCCCCCTGCTGTGTGGTTCTGCACGAAATCATCATCGCCATGGAAAGAAGCCCAGAAGGCCAGAGAATCCGATGCCGCCTTCAAGGCTTAGAAACTGCTTCCGAACAAGATTGCAAGCGATAGGCTGCCCGGCATCATGAGGCAACTGAGTTGTACGTCGACAAGCTCGCTTCACTCGATTAGCAGGTCAGTAACAGGATCTTAGTCGGGCACCCAGGTCACCGGTCTCGGTTCGGCCGGCAGTTGCTCGTGAAGGGGGTAGGGGTCCATGACCCCAGGTGATATAAGAGAGGGTCTGAAAAGTTTATAAGAGGGGTCCACCAATGCAGAGAGGGTAGAGGGAGGGTAGGGTCAATACTCGAAATTCGTTGGAAAGCACTTGCTCGCGACAGTGACGATGGGGGTGAGGCTTTGAACGCTTTCTTCCAGATAGACAAGTGAGAAGAATGAAACAAGACAAGCAATCTTGTCTTGTTTGTTCTGTGAGGCCTTTCTTGCTTGTTTGGAAGTTCTCAAACAAAAGCTTTCAGCTTGTTCTTTGAAAGTGCATTGGATGTCATGGACTGCTGAGCGCATCACTGACCCATTCTCAGATGCTCCTGGTGCCAAGAGATTGAAAAGGAAGGAGAGATGGGAGGGGGGGCAAGCAAAGGCCATGCTTCTAGCGTTGCCATCAAGGAATCGTTCGAGCGATCCTCGAAGCTCGAGCAGGTCAGATCATCGATCATCGCATGGGATCATGAACTCTGACGCTGCTATGGAATAGGAGGTGCAGCGCTTAGAGCAAGAGAAGCAAGAGCTGGAGCAGCAGCTGAATGAGAGTACGGATGCCTCCTCCAACAGGACTGTGAGCTTGACATCCGTGGGCAGAGAACTCCGACATCGAGCAGCTCGGGGAGCTCAACAGGAACCTGGAGAGAGAGAAGGAAAACTTGGCCAATGAGACGCAGAACTCGGTAGGCCCTGAGAGCGATGGGAGCTGGCATGCAGCTGGAGCCGGCTGTGCTGAGAGAGTTGGCAGATGGAGGATCAGAAGTCAGCGGAGAAGAGCATCTCAGAGTTGAAGAAGGAGATGGAGGCGATGCGGGCGCAGTTCTTCCGTCTTGAGGCGGAGCTGCGGGACACGTGCGAGCTCGTGATGTCGATGATGCTCTTGTGATGAGCGAGTGCAGGAAAGGAGAGCTCAACATTGAAAAGGAAGAGCACGGACACTCTCGTACTGAGATCGAGCGCGTCGGTAAAATGCTCACAGAAGCGGTAGGTCATAGCAGCTCAACATGTGAATCTTCCTGACCCTCACAAACCATAACGATTTCTGCCAATCAGATCTCGGAGAAAGAACAAGTAGAGAACAAGATGAAGTCTATCCAGGAGGAGAAGGATGAAATCGAAGGATTGTTGAGAGCTGCAAAGGAGTCCTCCGACTTGTATGCTATCCCATGAATGATGCGCTTGTAACTCTTTTATTGCAAGATACAAAGATTTGTCAAGCAAGCTGATGCAGAAGAAGGCTTCGTCAGAAGAGGTCTTGTTCTGCTAATGAGAAAGTGAGTTGTAATCACCCATTCCATTTCAGGCAAAAGGAAAGGACACTTCATCCTCAATCAAGGAAGAAAGCAAAGATGTTTCAACTTACAAAAAGGTCGTCGAGAAAGTTGATGTCGACAATCTTGCCATGGTCAAGCCCAAGATGGCTGGAAGGTTCTCGAAGAGTGGGGATGAGCGTGTCTCAACTTTGATTGCAGGTTGAAGGTTTGTGTCATATCTACATTTGAAGACTTCTTCATGGAACGAGACCTCATTCGCAAGGAAGTCTACGCTAATCTTGCTGGAGTCTGCGAAGCGAGGAACATAGCGCTTGAACTGGTCGATCTGTGGGAGGGAGTGCACAAGCAAAACGTGTCCACTCTGACACAAAAGTCAGCTGTGATTGCTTTCTCAACGTTCCTCTGACTTGCCTTTGGCAGCTTCCATGTGGGCTCATTGTACCTCAAGGAGATCGAAGACTCTGACATCGTTGTCATCATGCTCGGCGAGCGATATGGTCAAGAAATCGGCGAGGAGGTCGGAGCGAAGGAATCAGCTTCCCGTCAATGGCTGCAGAGGTATCGAGCTCAATCCAGCAGCTATGGCAGCACGATGCACCTGGCGACCATGTATGCAGCATTCTACTGCGGAAGCGACAACTCTCTTCCGACTTACTTCCAGCCTTGTCGAACTCTTGCTTACTTCCGAGATCCAACCTTTATCAATGGCTTGCCTGAGACGATGATCCAGCACTTCGAAGCTGAGAGTGGGAGAAGTGCGAGCAAGCTTACAACTCTGAAGGAGAAGTTGAAAGAAACAGGAATCGTCCGAGAAGAAGCATATGCTGACCCACAGGTCCTCTCCAACCTGCTGTATGAAGACATCAAAACCATCATCGACAAATCCTTCCCTGAGTCGTTCACACGATTTGACCGCGACGTCACCGTCAACGAGTCGTTCATGGAGACTCACGCATGGATAGGACAAGGAGGTCGAGGCCTCCTGCTGCCAGAGGAAGTGAACAGCATGATGGACAGGATCAGACGATACTTCGTGGGGGATGCGGCGCAGCCTCTTGTTATCATCGGGGAGGCAGGTTCCGGCAGGACCGCCATGATGCACGCCAACATCAAGGCGCTCATGAAACGGTTCCCTCCTCCTGACACGACGCATATCTATCACTTCACAGGGTAGGACGTGGCCCTCCTGTGGCAGGCGCCTCATGCCTGGTTGACAGGTGCAGCAACGACGCTAAAGATCCTTCCACATGGATTTACAACGTCTGCAAGAAGCTGAAGAGCGAGACTGGCATCCAGCTGGAGATCTCGCAGAGGCCTGACGAGCTGATCAAAGAGTTCAATCAGGTGCAACAAGACCCACTGAGATCGAGACCTGACGTCTTTCCCAGTGGCTGGAGGCCGTCAGCTCAACTGGTTTGAAACTTTTCTTGTTCCTCGATGGAGTGGACGCTTGTCAAAACCTCTCCATGAACGAAGATCCCGTCTGGTTTGTGCCCAAGAATCTTCCGCAGGGTGAGCATGGCTCCTTTGCTTCCTCTAGTCATGCTTCAAGTCACCTCGCCTTGCCTCGCAGGGGTCCGCATGCTGCTGTCGACAGGAGCGGGGTCTACCTTGACAAGCTTGGCTCAGCGGGGATGTGGAGCCCTCACCCTGAAGCCGCTGGATGAGAAGCAGAAGCAGACGCTGATTGAAGGCTATCTGGCAAGAGAGAACAAGACTGAGTTCGCCAGGAAAGGAATCTCGAGGCTCGTTGGATCCGACAAGACTGGAAACCCTCAGTTCCTCTGTAATGTACTCGGGGAGATCCACTCGATCGGGGTGCTTGATGGCGTAGCCACCATGGAGCCTGTGCAGTACTTCCTTGAAGCAGACCACCTGCCCATGATGATAGAAAAGGTTCTTTACAGATGGGAGAGCAACTACACCGGGAAAGGAGCGAGTACTTCCCTTGTCAGAGATGCGCTCACTTGTATCTGGGCAAGCCGGTACGGGTTGTTGCGAACGGAGATCGTCAAGATGTTGGATTCTACCCACGTGCACTTGTCGAAGCTGCTGCGGGACTGTTCCTTGCTCATGATCGGCCATGCGGGGATGTTCAACTTCCAATCTCAGACCATGTCTCAGGTGATACAGCAGCGGTACATGCCGACTCACGACGGGCAGATGGAGGCCCATCAGTTCCTTGCCAACTTCTTCGAGGACGAATCGAACTCCAGCCTGACAAGGCGGATTGAAGAGTTACCCTGGCAGCTCATGCAAGCAGGAGACAGCGAAAGGCTCTGCAAGTGCATCTCGGAGACCAGGATGTTCCTCAAGCTCTGGGATCAAGACTTCCGCCTTGACTGCTGGAGGTATGTCCGCTTCCTAGAGCAGCAGAACGTCATCCTCAGCCTGGGAATGTACTGCAAGGCCAGCAGCAGCGCCTTCGAGCTGGAAGATCCTAAGCCCGAGCCTGAGGTGATGGCCGAAGCCAAGCTCAAGTACGGGGCCTTCATGGCTGAGCTGGGATTCATGGAAGTGAGCCTCGAGTTCCTGCTCAAGGCCAACGACACATGGAATGAAATGCATGAGAGCGAAGACGAACGAGTCGCGCAGACGTTGGAGACTGTGGCTAAGGTGCTGGCAAATCTGAAGTCACCCGAGGCATCGAAATACTTCGAGCGAGCCTTGCAAACAAGTAACATGCTTCGGACAAGTAGCATCACACACACTGACCCGTCTTGCAGGAAACAGGCTGTGCAAGAAGACTGGACCGGACACAAAGCTTGCGATGCTGCATAACGACTGGGGGCTTCATCTCAAGAGGGAGAGTCAGCACAACGAAGCGATCAGAAACTTCATGCGAGCTTCAGAGATCTGGACGAGGAAGCTCGGAGCCAATCACCTCCATGTGTCGACAGCCAATCTCAACATCAGCACCACGTGTTACGCCATGGGGAACATGCAGACAGCATCGGAGCATGCAGCTCTTGCCATGGAAATCCGCAAAGAGGCTGTAGGTGTCAACCATCCTCTATACGCTGAGGCGTTGCTCAACTTCGCTGCTGTTGAACTTGGGAAGGAGAAAATGGGAAGAGCCCGACGAGAAGCCGAGATTTTAGTCCGTCAAGCCATTGCCATCTTCGAGAGGACTCGGGGTGGGCAACATGCTGACACACTGTGGGCAAGGTCGTTCCTGACTGAAGGCTTCGGAGCTTCCCTCATAGACGGAGATGACGACACCTCTGATGAAGATGGGGATGACGAGCAAGGAAAGATCTAGCAAATGACTTGCTGTATTGTAAATATGTATTATTACACAACAATGATCAACAAAACTCATGTGACCAAGACCCCTCGAAAGGATGGCTGCCACTGTGTGGTTCATGCAAAAACTTCGCAGTCATAACCGCCAAGCCTTGGTCAAACATGTCCTTGTTGTTCATTGACACGGTCGTGAAAACAGCTCACAAGATGATACTCAGATCCGAACGCTGACCTGCCACTGAGTCGGGGTCTATGCAGAGTTCCTTCGCTATCCTAAGGTAGGTACTGTAAGCCTGGCAAGAGTGATCCAACCACGCCTAGTGAACTCTGACCCGTCATTCTCATCACCGTCGACATCTTCGCAGCAAATTGCTGCCCCCACGAATCCCAAGAAGGTGCCTAGTCCAGTTCGTAACGCAGAAGGGCGTACGACTTGTTGCTCCTGTTGTCTTTGACCGAACTCTGTGAAAGCTGAAACCCGAGGTACTTAAAAGTAGAAACAACAGGCATGAAGTCCGGTCGCTGACGATCCACGTACATCCAAACTGTGGTACATTCCAAAGACTCTGCAACCTCCAGAAGGGAGACCAGCGACTGCTTGCTCGAAGCTGAAATGGTTGAGGGTGCCGCAATGTAAAACTGGGATTTCTCACAGCTGTAGTGAGCACTCCAGTTCGCCAAAACTGTATCTTGCGACGACTTCTTCTCCACCGATTCAACCTTGAACGAGATGAAGCTCGAGTCCATCAAGGCCTCGGGCACATCCACAATCTCTAGTCCGCTCAGGGGGGCATTGCCATTCTCTCCGACCTCCTTGAAACCAAGGGTGGAGAGTTTACAGCATACGTCAAACCCACGACGGTGGCCGACCCACCAACGTGGAGCAAGAGCACGCCAGCACCTCGCTAATAGAAAACTGGTCAGTGTCTTGAAAGGGTTGACCACAACTGTAGCACCTGACGCGCCCAGAGGGAGAGAGTTTCTTGAAAACAGTCATACGACTCTTAGTACTACAAATGTGATTATTATCATTTTCTAACACCATGATAGACAAGATCTATGTAAGCACGTCTGACAAAGTTGAGTTGGAGTAGTTTGGCTGCAAACGCAAGATGTCAGCTCGGACCACTAAGTCGCATGCCTAGGAAACAAAACACGAAAACAACCAATATACCACGAGACTCAATTCGAACCATCGAAATCATGGAATTGAGTTAGTGGATTCATGTCACTTCTCAAGTCCTAATCGAAAGAAAACGGCAATACATCGACCGCAAGCTGCCTTTTCTAGAGAGGGAGGGTAGGCGGGAGAGAAGACGAAACAACGCGATATGCGTCGTAAATCAAGGACAGAATTCCTGTTTCCTTTAGCTCATTCTAATGTATAAACTGGTATTCAAGGATGATGAGAACGCCCTAATGAGGGCGGATAAAAGTCTGTGGCTCCTTAGAGCTAGGAAGGGAATGTTAGAACAGCATCACAAACTTGCATCTTCAGAATCTCTTCCTGGTTTCACTAAATCATGGATTTCAAGTCTCGCTCATCGCAAATCGCATCTCTCCTGCATCATCATTTGCTCTGCGCGTTCCCTCATGTTCAGCTGCCGCTCTCTGTCATTCGCTGCATGCTCCTCGGCTCCACGCCCTCTAACCTCCACCCCACCCCAGCTAGAGACTTTTTCTACCCACCCTACGAGAGCATCACCCTCTACACACACCTCTATCCGTCTTCAATACCTCTTGTTGGCCTCCTCGGCAAGTACCCCTCATAAATCACCCTACGTGAGACCCCCACCCTTTCAAAGAAATTTTCTGTATCATACACCCCGAACTTCTAGAAGGATTTGACCACAAACGGGTGGGTATTGGAGCCCAAAATTTTCATGTACCCCCATTTTTTACCCACCCATCCTCTTCCCACACCACCCCACCTCCTGCAAGGTTTCGACATTCAAAGTTTTGATTTGTTTGATGAGCTCCGACCATCCTTCCACTTGGTCTGCACCCACCCACCCCACCCATCGATTTCCAATTCCTACTACCCCAAATTTTCCATCTGACTACCCCACTTGAACCAGCCTTCTCGAACGGTCCACGTATGCCTACCCCTAAGACGGGGAATACCCCACCATTCACAACCTTTCCCCACGTTTCAACTTGATTCCCCACAGGTCCTAATTACTCCCCAATCCAGTACCACCCACCCCTCTTCTAAACTACCACCCTGTTGTACTCAGGATTCCAACTCGAACCCCTACTACACCGCTTCCTGATTGGGGAGGAGGTGGGGTAGTTCTGAGCACAGTATGCTATGATGTACCCACCTTGGTTAGGAAAGATTTGGGGAAAAAAGTGGGTGGGTAGGGGGTGTAAGGGACAAGTGAGTAGGGTGGATGTGCTTTAAATACCTTGCACGGGTAGGGTGGTCATGGGAGCATGACGTTGGGGGTACCGCGTGCTGTTTGTTTGTGAGTTGAGTCAATAAAGAGGAGGGGTAGGTGATTGAAACTCACAGAGAGGGTTAATTTGATGTTTCATGAAGGGGTGGCGGACATGGTGGGTGGGTAGGGGGTCAGGGTAGGCTGCAACAAGGAGAAGTGATGCCAGAAGGGTGGGGTGGCTCCCTGCAGCCTTTCCTGAAGAAAGACAATTAGCTATCCCTGTTTCGGGAAGCAAGGCGAGGGGGGCTCGGTAATAAAGTATTGACTAAACGTTTTGCAGCTGGTGCGGAGAGACATGCAGTGCTGTTGACGAAGGGGCGGTCTAGTTAGTCAACGAGACTAGGGGGGGTTGCATAGCAAGACCGCTATGAAGAAGGAAATATTGGATTATCACATGAATAGGAGGGTGATGATACAGACGGATGAAAGAGGTTAAGGCAGGCATGCAGGAAGCCAGATTGGCATGTTTTGTAAGCAATGCGGACGAGAGACTTGGTTTGAGGCAGATAGTCTTCACGAATAGGAACAGTATCCTTAAAACCAGGATGACAGGAGAATTTGGTTCATAGTAGGAAATTAGACGATAGAATTTTGAGTGAAGATGAATTGATGTATTGGTAAGTCTCTTGAATACAGCTATGCCGTTAGGCAGGTTGATCGTAGAAACGACACAGGAAGGAACATAGTTGTATCAAGTCAGAAGGATAGTCGCTTTCAAATTCATACAAGTTGACACCGCACGAAAAGGGATGTTCCACGGACTCCTCAAATCCATACAGAAGTGACCCGACTTAATATTCCACTGAGGTATTTCCAGGGATGCTTCAGACGCTTTCTCAAGTAGCACGTCCCGGACCTCTGAAGAAGAGGGCCATTCGTCCGGCAAGAGCAATGATGCTCGGTGGGATGTGGGATGCCGATGTGCAGAGCGAATGGAGAGATAGCTGCGCTGGATTCTGTGGAACCGACGATCCACACACACAAATCTGAAAAATGTAGTGATTCAAGAAGCTGACATCAGGTTAACCTTATTATGTGTAATCATTATGGTAGAAAGAACATTATATAAAATGAAGAAAGGCATGCGACGCCATGAATAATACGCTATTAACTGTATTGTAATTTGTTCAGAAGATCGGCGTGAGCATCTTTGAATCCCTGAGGAAACGTTGAGAAAACGTGTCAGGGTCGTCTTGTAGAACAACTTTGCATCGAATCTCACTTCAATCCTTGAGCGAGCATTTGCGCACGCTCTGGTATGCACAGCTATATCACGCTTGCTGATTTCCCTCTCGTGCTGAAAGCAGAAACGAAAAAATGTCACAAAGAAAACATAGTGATCAAATCAAAATACAGGGAAGTCATTACCATTTGTGCTTGATACTCTCTATTCGCTTTCGCTAATGTTCCCATGAGTTCTTGCTTCATTGATTTTTCAAATTCCAGAACTCTCTTCGCTTCCAAGCGCTCTTGGGAAAGGATTAAAAGTTCTGTTTCCAAGTTCTCCACCTCGCGGCTTAGGCTTTGTACTTCATGATCGCGATTAAGGAAACTCTCATTCAGACGTCTTGATCGAATTTCCATTTCTAAAGCTTCATCGGCTAATCTTCTATGATCATTTCTGAATTGCTGTACGATTTTCCTGTTCAAAGAGCAAATCATTGAACAAGTGATGAAATCGCGAAAAACAAAAAAGTTTGACAAGAAGCACAATACTTCATTCGATATTGGTTTCATTGCAGATACAAGGACAGAGCACGCAACAAAGTGTCTTTTGACATAAATGAGAAGCATGCCACTTATCAAGACTCGAATACCTTTCTTTAGCAAGGGAATGGCGAGCTGCTACAACATCATTTTCGAGGCTTCTCCGAGCTTTAGCGAGATTTTCCAATTCTTCAACCATCTGCATAAGATCCTTTCCTAGAGATGAGAGATCCTCTCCCTCCTTTTCCATAGTCTCCTCCTCGCCGTGATCCAGATGCTGCTTGGACATTGCCGTTGACACAATTTGTCCACATCCCCTCTCTGACCAGTTGACAGTGACCGGGTTAACGCACCGGGGGTTAACGCCGCCGGGTGCAGGATCGGATCGGACCGGGTGCTGGCCGATCGTACGGTACGGTCGGATCGGACCGTACGGTCGGACGGCCGCGCTGTGACCGCCCGCGGCCGGTCCGCGGCCGCCCGGCCCCGGGCCCGGCCGACCTGCCCGGAGTCTGGCCCTGACTCAGCCTGTGAGCGCGCGGGCGCCCGGCGGCCCGGGCTCGGAGGCTCCGAGCAGGCCGCCCGCCGGCCCAGGGGGCCGGGGCCGGGGCGCGCACGGTTCCGAAGTTCCGAAGTTCCGAAGTTCCGAAGTTCCGGGAACTGCGGCAGCGGCCCGGGCCCGGCCGGCCCGGGCCGCGCCGCCGAGCCCAGGCTGTGTGGCCCGCCGCGCCCGCCGGCAGCCGGCCGGGCCCGGGCCCTGAGTCCCCGCGCGGCCCCGGCGCCGGGCCGCCCGGCCAGCGGGCCGCGGCGGGCCCGGGCCCTCAGCGCGACCGTCGAACTTGAGGTCCGGCGATCCGATGCCATGATCCGAGCCCGCCGGGCCGAGCCTGAGTTGATCGATCACTCGGCGAACTCACGGTACGGTCCGACCCGATCCGCGGATCCGAACTTGCCGCGGCGGCCGGAACTCCCGGACCCCCGGCCGGGCCCCACCCCACCTTTAGAGTCAGCGACTCAGATGATAAAATTGACCGTTCCCGCCAAAATAAAAGTTTGTGGGTTGATAAATCCGATGGCGGCAGGGTTGGATAGAATGTCCGCGGGTATATTGCTTTGCACGTCTTGAACAGGATGTGCGATGATCTTTTATCTTGTATTTCAACTGATCCTTGATTGCTGATTGTTACATTCAAGTTGTGATCTCTGTCTTCTCCACTTTTTTCGGTGGAATCCTTTTCCAGTCAGCTTCTATTTCAACTCTCTGCTGCAAATGCGGTAGGGATTCATGTTCTTAATGGGATACTAAAAACATGTGGCAGGGTTGAATACGTTGAATAGTATCGCTTCTTTATCGACAGTAAATATTTCTTTGGCTTTTCTTGATGTATACACCGACACTTTATGTTTTGCAATATGACACCTGAAGGAAACAAGAAATCTTTCTCTCCGATACAGATCATAATATTCTAATCCAAGACTTCGAATTTTGTTGAAGGACCTGAATATGTTTCCGTGTAAGAGTTGTTTTGCTTGAAAGATTCCAGTTCTGATGTTGCTGAGTGTGACCGGGCTGTGTAGAACTTCTAAATCCTGAAGGACAGAATATTTCATTCTTAAAGCAAAAGATCTTCTCAAGAAGCCATTCGTCATATTTGAGATGCAACAGCAACAGCAGCAGCGTCAATTGTTTGCCGGAAATTCAAGCCTACAACGAAGGACGAATCAATTCTCGCAAAGGCCCCCGAATCAAACTTTGTCAGGCAACGCTCAGCAAAAGCAACTACTTGCAGCCCCACAATCCACAGCACAAATTCTGGAAAATTTGAACTCCTATGTCGTTTCACAGCAACAGCAGCATGAAAATAGTGAACAGCTCAAAAAGCAAAACCGCAAACAAGCTGAAGTGATTGAGCATCAAAAACGAGATCTAGAGGTACTGAGATATCTTGTAGAAATTCAACAAAACTAATTCTTGTATGATCCAAGCAACTTCGATATGAGCGAGCCAGTATTGCCGAAAAGCTTAGGCAGCACGAAGCTGTTGTTGAAGGGCTTGAGATCAGCACCAAATCCTTCAGTGACAATTTTGAAATTAATCAGAAACATGTCTTGGATGCCAAGGTACATTCAAGTTCCTTAAATTGTTGAACAACAGGCTAATCCCTCCTCGTGTTGCAGAAGAAGCTTGACTTTGGAGAAAAGAAATATGATGCTTTCATTGATTGGAAAGTGCAAATGGAATCGAGAATAACACAAATTGAGGAGAAGTATCATTCTAAGCATCAATTACTTGTGGAGCAGCTGTCAAAGTCTCAGGATGACAACTCAAGTTTGGAGAAAAAGCATCAGGAGCTGTCTCAAGAAATCAAAGCTCTCTCTGAACAAAATTCAGTACTTCAAAATGAATTGAAGGAAAAAACATGCTCTCTCGACGATCTTCGAAGCAAACATGCCGACATTTCCGCAAAATTCAATACGTTGCTGAAAGAAAAGCGCTTGTTGGAGAAGGAATCAACCAGGGAAAAAGAAGAAAAGGTTCTCATTGCAAAATCTTTAGAGGATCAGAAAACCAGATTAATCGAGGCTGAATTGCATCTCAAAAATGTTCAAATGCAACTTACAGAGCAAAAGGAAAAACATTGCGAAGCACAACAGAATCTGGAGAGGAACTATGAATCGAAGATCCTCGAAATGAAAGAAATGGCTAAAAATCAAAAGAAAGCATACAGCACTGAAATCGAATCGATCAAATCTTCTCAGAAGCAACAAGAAACAGAATTGCAGCTTGTCAAAGATCTAAACTTAAAGTTGAATGACTTGTACAAGAAGGCATCAAGCGACAACAAAGTCTTTGAAAATGAGTTGACTATAATAGAGGACATAGTATCTAGTTTTCAAAGCTTTGATGACACGCTCGGACAAGTGTTGCATTGCTCAAGACTAAGAAATGAGAATGTTTTCATAGAAAAGCAAAGGTACGCCGACTTGTACGAAAAGAATCAGGAATATCTCCGTGGACAAGAAAATGACTTGAACATTTTAGACAGAAACCTATCTCAGTTGGACTCCATTCTCACAAATACCATGACTCAAAAACAAGCTCAGAGTGACAGACTTTTCAATCTTTCTGCACAGGTGTCATTTCTTGAGGATCAGATTGCCGAAAAAGATAATCAACATCAAAATAAGACGATGTCGAATTTGAAGGAAATGGAAGAGCATTTGAAAAAAGTCATGTGTGATGTGAAGCGCGATCATGAAATGGAAATGAAAGCCCTGTCGGAAGAACATGAGCAGAAAGTAAAACAGTTGGAAACAAAGCTTGCTCAATCGGAATCTTTCCAAGAAAAATTCCATGTGCAAAGTGTGGAGCAACAGAGAATCTTGGAAGAATTATCCTGTGCCAAAACTCTAATCAAGAATTTGAGAGATGTGGAAAGTAACCTCAAGGGAGACATAGAACAGCCTAAAACAGCAGGGCCTTCGGCACCGTCCAAACAGCCAACAAAGTCTTGGAACGCATTACAGCAAGAAACTTACGTAGGAGAATCCAGAGGAGGTTCCTCCAGGGACGTGAATCAAAAACAGTTTTCAAAGTGCGACAGATTTTTGTCAACACCAGAGAGGCAGATTCCAGCCCAGGACCTGACACCTGCTACCAATGTCAAGAGCACGAACAAACGCAGGAGGGGATACTTGGATGTCAGCAAGAAGAATCTCAAGGAGGACATCTGCAGTGAAGTCGTAACCAAAAAAATGCCCATGACGACTAAAGCCATTGCCACAAAGCCTACAAATGTTGCTCCGATCGGTCGCCGTTACACTCGCAGACGAAACAAGGTTGAGCATCATTCTAGCGGAAGTCAGGACTCATTCAACATTTTCGACAACGACTGCTGATGGATAGCCTTGAAGCAGTGGTTCTGAAATATTTGCTCTAGTGAATAGAAGTATGCAAGTGAAATATCAATGCAAAAAAAAATGATAGTTGGTAGTTGTATTGATCTCAATGAAAGATGTCACATCTATGAATTCTACAAATAATACAATATCTCGGACTATGATTTTTCAACGGAAGCAGTTCTGATCACAGACCGAGGTCTTTCTTGTACTTAATGAATCTTGGCAGGTTTTGTTTCACCTAGAAAAGCGTGAGGTCCATTAGATTCTCGAGTTTTGATTCGTCACCTCTTTCAATCTGTCTGCAGCGTTTCTCATCTGGAATCAACGTCACAAGCTCTCTCTTCGGAGATCGATCGCTCGGACCTGTGGGTCTTGTCTTATCTTCGCCTTGTTGTCAGCAAGCCATTGCTTCATGGCAGCAACAAACATCGCTTGCATCTCTTGCAGACATTCAATGATCTGTCACAAATTCAACGGAAAACGATCGAGCCCACCAAACGTGATCACTCGCAAGGGACGGAGGACAAGCTCGTTGAGGTCATCTTCCGCGTACACGTCAAACATAGCGTTGACAGCCTCGGCCACCACGAGGATGGATCTCGCAGATTGTGCACTCTGACAAGAGAAGTCAATGGAGTCATGGACAGACTGCCTGCTGCCAACCTTGACCAAGATTTTTCCAATGCTCGTGTTGCTCTCTGTGAAAGCTGTCAGCAAGAAGAGATGTTCAACGATGAGATATGCCGAGATCTCTGAAGCTCTTGCCCAGCAAAGCAAGCGCGTTCATAGCGTTGATCCTGATCTCATCTGTGTGACATAGCGAGGTGAGTAGGAGGAAGCAGAGCTTCAAGACTTGCACCTGTCGCCCCTTGCTCGGCCCACACAGCCAATGCTTCCTACGAGGAGGTTCAGAGGAGAGAAGACCTTGGAGGAAGAGCCGCGCAAAGTCCTCCTGTTCTCACCTGGAGCTCACTGGGTAGGACGAGAATTGTGCGAATCTCAAGCTCGAGAGCCTTTTCGAGGAGGACGAAGAGAGTTGCAGAAAGACATTCCTCCATCTCAACCTGCGCGAGAAAAGAAGTTTAGGGGAGGCAGATGAGGGAAAGACGGGGTAGCAGGGTAAATCAGGCACCTTGCCCTGTTCAGAAGATTGCAGGACCGACAAGACGTTGGGCAAGATGATTTCATCCCTCACTTCTCATCAAATTTCAGTGATATCGACGCAACCCGGGCCACTGAGAGCAAGAGAACCTTGTTGTAAGGCGATCTGACTGCCGGGAGGACAGGACAGGATCCAGTTTGACATGCACTCGATGGCTGAGATCTGCGAGGACCGAGCAAGGTGAGAGAAGTCAGCAGGAGAGCGAGAGTCGCTGACCTGCATGTCTATGAGGGCTAGAGGAATGTATCGCACGTCGTCGTAATAGCAGGTCGCCAGAGCTTCCTTGAGGTTTGCGCTGAGCCCCTTCGTTCGCAGCACAACAAGATCGAGCAGACTGCTCAACAAGAGTCACGTCAAGGAAAGTGAAAAGTAGAGGCAGAGCAGAGCAGAGCAGAGCAGAGCAGAGCAGAGCAGAGCAGAGCAGAGCAGAGCAGAGCAGAGCAGGGAAGGGAAGGGAAGGGCAGGGCAGGAAGGGAGGGTAGGGAGGGGAGGGGAAGGAAGGGTAGGGGAAAGGAGGGGAAAGTACAATTTCTCACTTTTCTCTTACTAGCCAGCTCGCAAATTCGGTCTGTCCAATCGGAAGCTTTGCGGAAGGAAGACTGTGCTCCTGCACATTCGCCTCCTCTAGCATCTCGCTCCCTTCCTCCTCCTCGTCTGCTGATTGCCAGCTGCAAGGTACATGTCAGACCTTCAGGAGCTCTGACCATCGCAGATCTACCCCTCCTCCTCCTCCTCGTCCTCCTTGTCGTCTGGGACCATCAAATTCGAAATGATCTCGAGAGCGAGCTGCGTTTCGGCTACTTCATCCTGCCAGCAGTCAGAGGGGATCAACTTGCGGTGCAGGAGGGGAAGGGGAACATGAGGCAATGGGACGAACAGTCAGGTCAGGCCAGGTAAGGTGAAAGAGGAGGAGAGAAGAGGAGAAAATCTCACCCGCCATGCTGAGTATTTGTTATGGAAGGTCGACGCGATCCCCTCCGTGTGCAAGAACTGTTCCTGCGAGAGAGGATGAGGAGGGAGGGAGGAAGACAAACAACGTCGTACATGGAAGACACCATGAGTGATCGGTTTGATGCTCGGTCTCTTCCCCTGCTTTTCTTGCGCATGACCACCAGATTCTTCTTCCATCGTCTGCTGCCCTCCCTCGCCATTCTCCGGCGGCTTCAAGTCTGCATCCCGGCAGCATGTCAGGACGAGGCAGCAAGGCAGTAGAGGGCCACCTATGATGGCCTTGATCATCGTCTCCTGATGATCGCACGACAGTACCCTCCCAAAAATTCTCCTCATGGCCTGCGCAAACTCCGGAGGCTGCGGGTTCAGAGTGAGAGAGTGAGGAGGAGGGAGGGAGAGAGGGAGAGAGAGAGAGAGAGAGAGAGGGTGGGGGAGAGGGAGGGAGGGTGGGGGAGAGGGAGGGAGGGGGAGGGAGGGAGGGAACGAGCTCCTTCACCTGTGCATGCTGCCCGATGTTGATGAGGATCCCCACACTCAACACGGCGACCATGGAGCTGTATCCCTCTTCCATGACTGCCCTCTGGATCGCAAGAAGGGCCTCGGGGTGCCCTGCGAGCATGGAAGAGATGGGAGGGTTGTCCTCAGACAGAACGCTGATGCAGTTTGCCGCTGAGCAAGCGATGCGCACAGCGATAGGAAGAGGAGCAGCAGGGGAGGGAGCGCCAAGAGCCAGGCACCTACACAAGGCAGGCAGCAGCCCCGCTGCCGCATCGTTGACTCGCTTCACTGCTTGACTGCTGACCTCACAAGTCTCCCACAGGAGGTCCAGTAGCTCACAGAGCAGCTCGTCTCTCCCTGCTGCCCCCGGAGTCCCGCTCATCCTCACATGAGACGCTATGCTGGACAGAAGAGGAGTCATGAGATCCCCCCGCACTGCTGCTTCATACGCAGCTTCCCCCCCGGACCCGCAGCATGCTCTGAGAGCGATCGCTGCAGCTTCCTTTACTTCCTCCGAGGAGTCACATAACAAACTTGTGAGCTTTGCTGTCACCCCTCGCTCCTGCAAGATTCTCGCCCCCCTCTTTGTCCTCCCGATCCCTCCTGCCAGATCTGCAGCCCTCGACCTATCCTGCGGCTGGAAGCTCCTCATACCTGCGAGGAGCTCATCGATCCCTCCATCCTCGGCCTCGTCCGGCTCGTCGCCAGCTGAAGCAGCGATCATCTCCTCTACTTTCCCCTCCTCTCGCTTCAGAGGGTCGGCTCGGTGACTCCCTCGCCCCCTCCGCGTCCTCCCGAGTTTGCCCATGATGGCACGTGAAGGTCGTCGGGGAGGGACAATGAACGCATGGGACTGAGGGGGGATGCGGTTGAGAGCCTGAACGCCGCCGGGCCGCCGGCGGCCCGGCGGCGCGTCGGCGCGGCACTGCGGCAATGCCGCAGTGCGGTCGCCGGCCGTGACTACTGACTCAGCAGAGCCGCTGAGCCTCGGAGTCTAAAGTGCTTTACTCAAAGTTAAGTTAAAAATCAGGACGAGGACAATCAGGAGAGTCGAAGAGGCTTCGGCCCCTGCCAGCCTGACAATGTTCAACGGCACTGCGGGCGCACTGATTTAATTTGACAAACTTTATTGTGGAAGGTACTTGGCGGCGATGGCTTCAAACTCTTTTCTCGCCTTGCGGAGACTCTCAAGGTCTCGATGCTTCAATTACCATCAAAGTCAGAAGTCTCAAGGCACATAAACTTGTGACGTCTACCTTGCTCTTGGGCTTCGACGAGGAGCTCTCTTTCCCGTGTTCAGCCCCCTTGTTCTTCTCCAACGATCGTGTCGGCGTCATTGCGGGCAGGTCGTGACGACCGTTGGCAGGCCCGTTCAGGCTCGACGAGTCATGGCTTCTGGAAAACTCCCTGCCAGGGGAGCTTGAGGCCCAGTGGGCAGGATCGTCGGAGCTGGAGGAATCGGAGGTTGACTGCGACTTTTCCGCACGGGTCAAACTTGACCTCGAGGTCTGATTGGGCATCAGGTACGCCTGTAGCTCTGAGGTCTTGTCCTTCAAGTTCTGATCTAGCTGAAAGTCTCGGAGTTGGTAGGTCTTGTCCTTCAAGTTCTGATCTAGCTGAAAGTCTCGGAGTTGGTAGGTCTCGTCCTTCAAGTTCTGATCTAGCTGGAGGTCTCGGAGTTGGTGCCTCAAGTCGACGATCATTTCGTTGCCCAACCTCTCACGAAGTTTGGATTCCTCCAGCCATCTCTTGGTCCGCTCGAGCTCCTTGCGGACTGAAACAGGAGCAGTGCAGGAGTCAGTCGCTGCCCCTGAGAGGCGAGTCAACTCACGCTCGTCGAAGGAGTCGAACGGGTCGTCTAACTCGTCTCCCAATACTCGATGTATCTTCCTCGACGACTTGTCTCTCCTCCATCGATCTCTCTAATCAGCGCAACCTTTATAACCCGCAGAAACATTCTTTTGCTCCTGACCTGATTCCAAAGTGCTGATGATTCCAGTACCTCTCGGATCTCTTCTATACACGTCTTGACATCTACAATCAGTCTTGAACTCAATTGACTTGCACGCGATTCCCGTCCAGCTGCATCAAACTCCTGAAGTTTTGCGTCACTCAAATTCAAGGCGTCAGGAAAGAATTCAAAGACCTTTCGCCCCTTGGATTGTTGAGCAAGTGAAAGTTTCATGTTGGTCAGTTCAGCTTGCATCTGTTCTAATTTTTCCTTGGTATCATCATAGTTCTTCTTGAGGCGCTCGTTTTGAATGCAGTGAGATTTCCAAGATTGTAAAACACTATCTTCTGATCTTTCTGCCTTTTCCCTTCTCTTCACTTCTTCTTCTAATGCAGACGAAACCCTTTGCAGCTGTTTTTGCATCGATGAGTTTTCATGCTCGAGCTTCTGCAACACGGATTGCAGATTTGAAACTTTCTGTGCTTCTTATCAACTTTGAAAACGACAGATCGATTCAAGAGACCTTGTGATAATCTTCTGCTGCCTTCGTCGAAGTGTCGCCAAGGCTGGACTGGAGATAACTTGAGCCCATGGGCCCTGAGTATCCACATCAGGATCATCTCTCAACAGAGCAAGACATTCCTAAAAAATCTCGTTTGACAGGTGAGGATGAAATCACTGTTGCTCGCTGCTCAGGGCTTCTACTGACCCGTCGGGAATTCGTTGCGCGCTGTCGAGACATCATCGAGACGAATTCACTTGCAAGATCTCACCATGGAAGCTGGAGTGCCGTTCAGTATCCTGCAAGGATTGTCACACTCCTGTTTTGAAGCTTCGCTATGCAAGTCATGCTCACGTGTTGTGCCCGTAGACAAAGTCATTCGCCATGTGGTGATGCGAGTGTTGGAGAGAAGTTCTGCATAATAGTGAGCATCAAGTGCCAGAGCATCAAAGTCGTTACCTGCTCCCTTCAGACCCATTGAGAGCCTTCGATGCTGACCCTTCGTCCTCCCGAGCCTCGCTGTCTATGGTTGATAGATGTGCTTGTTCCGACGCCTGTACCTGCTGCTTCTTCCGCTCAGGAGTTCTGCACTGCATCAACCAGGAGAGGTTTCGCTCCTCTCGGCTGGATTCATGCGTGGAAATGCTTTGCACGTCATCAAAGCTCGAACCTTGAAGGTGATCCACAATCGCTGACTCCTGCAAATGGGACAAGGCAAGAGCGTCCGTATTAGGGACATGCTCTAAGGAAGATCCTTGCTTCTTCAATTGAGAGTTGCTGGACGAAGAGCTATGTGATTCTTCCCGCTTTCGTATCCTCTGTCTCATTTCAATCATTTTCTCTTCCCACCTCCTTCTCCATTTCTTTTCAGATTCGCTCATTTCCCTTTCTGGTTCTCGGCGATCCTCTGGAGATGCGAAAACACCATGCTTTTCGAGTATGATAGATGAGGCACCTTGTTCTGCTGTAGAATTCAAGCTTTCTCCAACCGAAACAATATTCTTTTCGCTCGAATGATTTCCCCCATGCTCATCATTTGTGCTTGACCAAGTTCCATCGAAGCCTCGTCCCTTCACATTCTGAGTCCCCTGACATACAGAATTTTTGGGAAGGATGATTTCTACTCTCTGCGCTGGGACTTGATGAATGTTCTGCCGCTCATGCCTGTCATTGTCCGCTCCTTCCATTTCAACCATGTCCTCCTCCTTGCTGAAACTTTTGTCCCACGCATGAAGCCTCTCCCTTCCCCTTGCCACCAGCATTCCACAAACGTCTCAACTCGAGTGACCACCACCCCAGGGTACCAACAAAACCCTACGGCCTACCCACCCCATCCACATAGCTCAATGGTGACATTTTCACCCCCATTTTCCCCCCTCTGCACCCCTTCAATGGTGCTACAGCACACCACCCACCTCCAGCCCCCCCTCACATAAGTTCTATAACGCCACCCCCTCCCACAGTTTGTCCGATCACTCGGACTGTAACTGTGCTAGGTCAGCCATCATGTGTGGTTCCATTCCTTGTGGTCAGCCATCATCTGCAGTTTCACTTGCGGCCGACCCATGGGGGAAATCTGAAGAGGAAATGCAGAATCGGCGGCAGATTTGGCGAAGAGTGAAGGAGAGCGCAGAGCAAGTGCAAGGGTAGAGAGACGAGTAGCAGGAGAAGGAAGAGAATGGATGAGAAGGATGAGACGTGGTTGAAGCAGCAGGAGCAGCACTCGATACAATCTCTTTGTTTGCCGCTGGATGAATGAAGTTTCAGGTGAGGATGAAGCTCAAACAGCTTGAGATGGCTCTTGAAGATGTTGATGTCTTTGAGAAGCCCAAGGTTTCAACATGAACAGAACAAGTTTATGGCTGACACATGCACATGAAGATACACCTTGAACAGTACCCCACAACCCCACATCTCGCTGCCTGCTTTCTTTACGACGCTCAGAACAGATTCGACGACATTGAAGGAAAGATGGTGAGGAAATTTGTAATACGACTGATGATGTCTCTCATGTTGAGATGATACGCAAAGGTCTGCGATCTAGGGTGCGGGACCGGAATGCTCTCCATAGGTGCGTCGATCTTGGGAGCAAGGTGAGGACGGGGTTGGATCCTCCTCAAAGTCTTGGTTTCACCGACCACGCTCACAGTTACGTCTGTGGTATCGACGTCGACGATGATGCACTCTGCATTGCGGCACAGAATGTAGGCCATATCGTTATAGGGGAAATAAGGAGGAAGGGAGGGGAGGGAGAGTGTTTGTTTGAATTCTGCTGGAAACTTAAGGCTCTTCCCAGGCAGAGGAGATGGAAGTAGATGTCAACTTCGTTCGTAATGACATCACAAGCGAGAGGTTCTGTACAATAGAGGAAACAGAGACACAGGGAGAGAAGACTGAGGCGGATCCGAGTGGTTCAGACGCAGGAGACGAGGAGGAGACGAGGATTAAGATGGCGACTGTCGCAGTGGAGGAGAGAAGGTGGAGAGCGAGAGCGTGTTACGACACTGTGATCATGAACCCACCATTTGGGACGAGGTGACGAGCGAGGACCAGTCATGTGGCGTCAAGATCTGACGAGCATCTCAGGTGCAAGGGGATGGACATTATCTTTCTGCTCAGCGGCCTGTGAGAACATTGACTGTGATGAGGATGGTAGATTTAAAGCTTGGTGGACGTGACTGTCTATCGTTGTGGGCAGATGTCTCGCTCGACGTGCAGTCTATTCCATGCACAAGGTAAAGTTTGACAAACCCTGAGGCTGGAGGTTGAAGGAGGCATTGACACTAATCTAACAGACTTCAACCCGCGAACATCTGCTGAAGAAAGCAGCTCAGTATGGACTGCAGATGGAGGTCGACTCCTTCAAACCTGTCAAACTATTATGTTGTCTTTGTGCAGTCACGACCATCTTTTGTGATTTCTCCCCTTCTCGAACTCACTGTTACTTTACAGGTTCTTGCTCAGCTCAAGTTTGATGTGCCGGTGATGATGAAAGCATCAGGCATGTGCCATGGCCACTTATGCTCTCAGCAGGCCATGTACGACTTCCACAAGAAGTCAAACGTAGTGATCGAGGTGGACCTTATCCGGATTGAAGTCCCTCCATCCGGCGTCCCGCCATCGCTCATAACTGTGATCGCTAGCTCACATAGTTGGTTCGCGTGACCGAGGGCTGCAGGGCCTGAGAGCGCTGCTCACTGAGCTTGTAGTGAACACCTCGAGTGAAGGATGCGAGGATTCTGAAGCGACAGCCAGCAGGAGAGGATCGGCAAACGAAGACGAGAACCGAAGGTGAGGTCTGTGAGGATTCAATTACATGTGGCTCAAGAGATCGGGCAGGAAAGGGAAACAGCAAAGTAGAGGAAGAGGCAGGGGGCGACGCTGATCTTTTAAACTGTTAACAAGCTGATCGCCAGCCCGAAAATTCCCAGAATTGACATGTCCACAATTTCACAAGTATCTATTTGGTTTGTTTCGTCTTCTTGGAAAGTTTTTGCGTCAGATCGTCAATCTTAGCTTTAGCTTCATCGTAGGTTTCCTTTGAAACCATCTGAGACATCTGATTTTCTAGAGTCTTTACCTGATAGGGAGTTAGTGACTTGAAGAAGGCCGAAGGGTTGTACCTTCTCCATTAGTGTCTTCGCCAGCTTCTTCGAAGCTTCTAGTTTGTTCTGATTCTTGTGGTCATCTTCCTCTGCGTCGGCTCCGTCAGTTGCGTGTTTCTCCCCATTTTCTGGTGTCTTGTTCGGCTGGGACTCGGTCGACTTTTGCAGCTTCGAGTTCAGAGCAGTGACATCTGATTTCAGGCTCGAGTTTTCTGGTGTGGAAAAGCAGCATTCAAAAGAGTCGCAACAGGCACACTCGTATCGGACCTTGCTTCAGCTTATCGTTGAGATCTCTCAGCTGCTTCACCTCCAACATCATCGATTCTTCGCTTCGCGTCAGCTCATGTCATCGGAGTTCATCTCACCCTTACCATGTGCAGTTTTGTCTTGCTTTGATCTCTGTGTTGAGCTCTGACTCAAGAGTTCAATCTCACACACAAATAAGTGATCGTCTCGTCAACCTCAAGGTCACTCTTGGCTTTCTGGAGATCTCCCTCCTTTTGCTTCAGCTGGTCGTTTGCCTTCTTCAGCTCAGCCTCCAGCTGGGAAACTCGTTGACTCATCTGGTTGCTCTCTTTGACACTAGGTGCTGCGACGCTGGGAGCCTGAGCAGCTTTTGGCTCATTAGAGCCTTTCAAAATCTCTTCTTGCACACGACGAATGCGCGCTGCAACTTCTGCTTCAGCAAAAGCAGTTCTGATGCAAAAATCTTGGAACTGATGAGCGAGGACGTTCAACTGACCCTGAAGGTCGAACCCGGGCCTTCGTGAAGCTTCTCTCAATCCATGAATCATCTGCAGCATTTGATCCACAGCTCCGATCCTTGAAACATCCTGCCTGACGATCTCGACAACAATCGGATGCCCTTGTCGGATGATCTTGAGATGAACTTTGGCCTGGAGCATCGTCAGCAAGAGCTCTACCCTACAACATCCTCTTCACCCCAGTGAAGTTAGCTTGCTGTAGCCTTGCAATGACTTCTTGACTTGCAACTCTGATGCCGTTGATCTCCTCAATTATGTCACCTGGGAAAAGTCGCCCGTACGCAGTCGATCCGGGAGTCACTCCCAAGATTTCGTTTGTTCTTCTTTCCTTTCCATTGCCCAACAGAATCCCCAAGCTTGCCTTGCTTCCAATCTTGAAGAAATCTTTGAGCTCTCCGTTCTCGAGAACCAATCTCTTGGCGTCTTCAAGCCCCATCTCCAATTCCTGTAACACATCATTCCAGTCAATCAAAGCGGTCTCAAGTTTCGTGGACGGTTCACAGACACGGGAGAGATCGAATCAGATCCTTCTACTCTCTCATTCGTCTCTGTCATATCACTCTTCTCGTTTCAAGTGAAAACGCTTCTAACCTTCATCTTCTTTGTGATACCTGTGTCTCCGATTGCATGTTACTATCAGGAAAACTCGAGGAGTCTGACTGTGTCTTGTTGGAGAAGAATCTGTCATCCTATTTCGGAAGGTCCAACTTTCTCTTTTCTTGCTCTACAGCTCTTCCAGTCCTGACACGCGTTCTACATCTCCTCTCGCAAACCTTGGACATACGAAATTTAATTCATCTCTGAATTGTGCAGACTGATTCAAGACACCTCTGCTTCGACTCTTAAGCTGAAATCTGCCGGCAATGGAACCCTCTCCTGTCCTTTCTGGTACGCATGGATTCTCTCTTCCCCTCGCTCCCTCCGATCCCCTTGCTCTGTCCTCCATTCTTGTTCGAGTCCACGTCGCAATTTCTTTATCCGGCGCTTATGATTGGGGACCACCCCACCCCTCCTCGACCTCAACAATATGCATAAAATAACGGGTACAGGAGCATCTCATTGTGACCCCCACCCAATCCAAAATTCTCTCTCGTGCCATGATCCTGCCTACCACCCACCCCTTCGTCATCTGCCTTGTACCCTCCTCTGATACCCACCTACCCCCTTGTTTCCATGTTCCCTCCTGTGCCGTTGCCCCTCCTCTACCCTACCCCACCCCTGAGTCAAAGCAATCAGCACCCCCCCCCTTCCCCCCCCCCTAGTGCCGAATCCGTTCTACCCTACCATCCCAGAGCCAACACTCCCTTTAGGTGTGATAAGGCTAGGGGTGGGGGGTTCACTCCTCAAGTAGGGGTGGTAGCAGGTACGGTTTATACTGGTAGAAACCATAAAACCGGTACAGGGTCCATGTCATGAGGGGGTAGTAGGGTAGTACATATATGGTATTTTGAGGGTGGGGTAGGGCCACCCCTGCTTTCCAATTGCATAGAAAACGTGGGGTGGAGACGAACGATCAGTACAGAACTGGCTTCCATTTGAAAACGATTATTTATAACTATCTATACATTTCAAATTTACTATCATATTTACAAACTTTGATGGACATGCCTGAAAACTGGAGAAAGGAGGAGGCCTACTATGGGTCGCATAATCTTTTCATTCGAATTATGAAAATTTCAAATTTGAGAAAAGAATTTCTAGAATAATTGAAGGCAAAGTGGTCGACAGTTGGGAACGGAAACCAGGACAATGCACATCAGCGGCGCCGTGTGAGGAACGAGACAGAGGAAGAGGAGGAAGGAAGAGGAGAAGAGACAGCAGAATTTCTATGGAGAGAAGGGAGGAGGGAGGAGAGGCTAGTCAGCTCGACCATGACAAGGAGCGTTTGTGAGAGGTGTTGTTGTCTGTACATCTGAGGTTAAAGAGAAGCAGTGATGTGAGAGACGAGGAGGAGTTTATTACGTGTAAGCGAGATAACAAAGGCAGCAAGATGAAGTTATTCTAAGAATTTGTTTCAATCCTTCCATAAAATGATTGTGATTTTTCAGGGTTTCATGTGATTGCACCTCAACGTGGGTCTTTTCGCAATGACGATGAATCATTCTGGTCCTCGAACAGCGGGAAACAAAAGTCTCGTCTCGTACAGATCAGGTCAAGTCATTTCTCTTGCATGCTTGAAAGACCTGCCGGCTGATCCATCTACATCAGGATATGGCATCGTGGGATACGCAGGCTACACGCCTTCGTCGGAGTGCATCCCTATACCAGTCAAAACGGGACCGAGCACATTTGAAGGTGCTGCATGGTGAGAGGAAAAGCATCCTGACTGTCTCTCAGAACGGATGGAGATCAAGGAAGCGAATCAAACCTACACCAAGGAATACTTGAATAATGGGGGATACAGCAGCTTGTACGGGAGTACTCTAGGGCTGATCAAACCGCTGGCGGACAATTCCAATGAGGTGCCCGAGGAGCAGGCAGGGTGGGGTTATGCCTGTTGACCTTGACTTGAGCATCATGTGACTGCGTGGTCCTTGCAGCGAGAGTGTTCGATCAGAAGCAGCTGACGAGCGAGAATTCCAATCCAAACCGTTCTTGGCATCCTCATTGTACTTGAACGACTTCAAAGTTCATCAGAAACCTCAGCGGATAGGTGGGGTTGTATGATCGTGCCTCAGACGCTGATGAGACCTGTCGTAGCGCTGATGGGAGTCAAAAGATATTCTGCACAAGGGACAACGTATTCAGACTCCTTCGAGCTTGCAGCCGACTTGAAGTACGGACAGAACTGGCTCGAGGAGAAGAGCCTCAGGCCCAAGACCTACGTCAAGTCAGTTGTCTTGTGTGTCTGATGTGACATTCTTTCTGCTAACTTCACGATGCCCTTCATGTAGTGAGAAGCCGAAATGGAGAGACGTCGACCTGAAGCCAAGGCCGATGAGCAGTCAGTACATGAATGACTTCGCCATGAAATCGGGAGAGATCATGAAGCAGCCTGGAGGTGAATGGCCGTCGATCTGTCTCTTCTGATGCTTCTCCCAGACATCTGCGACAAAGCGAGCAGCAAGGAGCTTTTCCAGGGCACCACCAAGTTCTTCCGATTAGTCCCCAACTACTACGGGTTCATTCCCGCCTCAGAGGCGAATCAGCATGCCCTTTCTCAGGTGAGACAGCCGAAGGTCTTCGACGAGCTTGACGGCCCTTTGACAGGTCAGCCGCATGGACCTCAAGCCCGACTCAAAGAAGTTCCGCCTCTTCACCCTCCAGCAATATTCTCTCAACGTTCCTGGATGTGCCAAGTTCCGCCCCAGCACAGCGTACAACTTGTCACGGTTGCATCAGGATATTCCCAGTGCGGCGTGAGCATGTTCTTCCTCCCTCATCTGAAGTTTTCGGCAGCCACAAGTTTGTCAACGAAGTCCGTGGGCGATTTCTTGTCATCGCCATCAGCCGAGGAGATGCTAAAGAGTACGAGCACGAGGTAACGACTAAGTCAGTGAGGAAATATCGCTCAACTGCTGCAGGAACAAAGGCATCCTCGGTTTTTTCCAGAGTGGAGAAGTTAGCCAGAGCTCGAACGGCATCCACAACGCACAGGGGTTCTACAAGCTCCTCCGTCCATACGAGGGTCTTCCTCGGGTTATGTGGCCTTCGTCGAGATCGGAGTCAGGGTGAGAGATGTTCTGGTAAATGACAAGGCTTCTTTGACTTCATCTTTCTTGTTCTCTCTACAGCTATCGATTCTCCAAGGTATGAGGCACGCCAATGGAAGACGTCATCGGAGACTCATTTCTCCAGCCATTGAGATGTTTCCTAAAGCAGCAAGTCATCATGAATCAGTCAAGAATCTCAAGAAGAATGTAGAGCATGAAAGTTGTTACCCTCAGGAAATTAATGAATTGCTTGTTCTGATCTTGTGAAATAGACTTGCCATGAATAGTTAGCAGCATTCGTGTTGACAGAGTTGCAATTACTTCCATCAGATAGGCGAGCACATCCTTAGAGAGGTGCTTCTTTACTGTGTTCAGGATCGCGTCCTGCGAGCGAGAGCGAAATCATCAGATTAGCGCGAGACGAGAATCGAGCAAGCATCAACGCTGCAGCGGCTCTTACTTGCACTGGTGGGTTCAAATCCACAAAGTGCTTCAAGGTCGTCGTTTCAAGCTGAGAAGTCGTGAGGGAAGGGGAAAAACTCACAGCAGACAAGTCGTCACCTCGTCGTCATCTGCTTCTCGCTCCGTTCTTCCAACAACGGGGAGTCAGTACCTGAGAGCAACTCCCCAGGGCTTTCACCTTAAGTTGCTGTACACGGAGTAGAGACCATTGGTCGTCCCATGCAGGTTTACAACATGACCTGCGGGATTGATTCCAAGAGCAGCGCCAACTATGCGTATGCCTTCCGCCGAGAAGAAAAGTTCCAAGAGAAGGGGCTGCCGAATAGTCAGTGTTTGACTAGTAGACCGAGAAGAGGTGACCAGGTCTTTCCCTTTCCTCTCAATGGCTAGCAACAGAGAGACTCCGAATTCTTCCTCCTTGTCGTCTTCTTCATCGTCCTCGAAATCGTCATCCTCTTCATCGATTTCGTCCATGTCCACTATAGACTGAGAGCAACACAGGATCAGCCAAACCACACAAGCCCAATGAGAAATCAGATTACCGTCGAGGATGTCAAGATAATGAATGAAAACTCTCCCTCTGTTTTGGTCAACACATAATACAAAGCTTCTCCAGGGGACAAGTACTTGTCCATATCCAGTCTGCTCCATCCCGCAGGTACTGTGAGATCCCTGAATTTATGCTTGAGGAGAACGGAATGTTGGAGGGCCAACATCCGAGACAGAGAAAGCTTCGCAGGAGCAGGCGCCTTTGGTTTTGGTTTCGACTTGCTCATCATCCTCTTCTGCAAAAAGTTGATGCTCCTACCGTTGCCCTGGTGCTGACGAGCTTGACTCGTGGCAGATTGCGGGAGGAATGGGGAGGGTGCGAAGCATAGCTTGTGGGAGCAGGTATAGGAAGGAGGGGCTGGAGTGTTCGAGAGAAGGGGGAGGAGAGGAGAGAGACGGGCGCCCTGCTGACTTCCTACCGCAACGCGCGCTGCTCTGCCGAGCAGCCGCAGCATGGCACGCGGGGCCATAGTAAATGAGGAGTATTAAATCAAAAAGGTTTATAAGAAAACTACCAATTATCAATATTTAATAAATTTATATGATGAAATCAATATAGTGCACCTGCATACTACTATGTTAATCCCTGTAGATCAGTAGTGAGCAACTCAGTAATGAAAAATATTTTGTACCGAAGTTATTAATTAAAATTCCACAGGAAAGCTGGCTTCACACCGGTGGTAGAATATAAGATGAAAAGGGAGAGATGGGGGTAGGGGTCGATCACATTGCGACCCGCCTCTCTCTCCCATTTGTAAGAGACCCAGCTGGTTGGAGGAGGAGGAGGGACCCAGCTGGTTGGAGGAGGAGGAGGGCGAGGAGGAGGGGGAGGGGGAGGGGGAGGAGGGGGGGGGGGGAGGGGAGGAGGTGGAGGGGCACGACATTACATAGAAAAGAAATGCCTCGACATTACATAGATTTTACATCACAACTCGGGATGAGCACGAGTAGCCTATCCTTTGATGCAGATGACGGGTCTGAGCTTCACGCACTTCCTTGAGATGCCAGCTGCATGGCACGTCTCGATGACCTGCCTGCCATTGAGCGGCCAAGACAACGTCGAAGATCTCTCACCTCGCTAACATCCTTGTAGCTTTGTGGCGCCTCCTCCGCTACCAACTTCTTGGTCGCGACCCTCGCTGTACATCCTCGATCCTGGCAGGCAGATCTTCAGCCCTCGTAGCACAGTTGTGGAGTTGAGGTCACCTCCACCTCCTTCAAAACAGCCCTGGAGTCAAGGCTTCGCATCGCTGCCTCCAACTCTCAGGTCGTTTGCAGGCTTCAAGCAACCAGACAGCACCTTGTGATCGGCTCATCGCTCTTCCAGCTCCATGGCAGGTCGAGCCGAACGTGCTCTCCATGGCCTTGGCCGTCCCCGTGAGGACGTAGCTGCACGTTCCCATGGAGCCACCGACGAGGACGGGTTGTCCGATGCTCCGATACTTGTCACAGATCTCTGGAGATCCAGGGCCGAAGGCCCTCGTCGCCCCTGCAGGAGGCGATGACAAGAAGGAGAGAAGCTTCGGTCAACCAACCTTTGCGGTGCACCAGGACCTTCTTTTTGACTCCATCCACCATGTGCTCCTGCGTGCCAAGCACGTGATTCGAAGCCGGTCCTCTAGGCGAAGAGAAAGTTCGGCGGAGACCTGGGGCGGGGGGTAGGAGAGGGGGTTGGGGTTGGCAGGATCGAGAGAGTTCAAGAGGACGAGACAGGGAAGAGACAAACACTAAGATGGTATCGATTCTTACCTCAACCTTCGCAATGTTGTGGGATACATCGTAAACTGTGCTCATTCCGAGTTCCTTCTCGTCCCTCTCAAAGATTGTTGCGAAGCTTTGCCGGACAGCTTTTGCCATCAGACATCGATTGACAAACGCGAAATTCGCTGCTGCTCGCATGGCAGCAAGGTACTTCTGTCCCTCCTTGGACTGAAAATACATCAAACAGCATTTCAGAGCTGTAGACACGATAAGGAACAAACTACCTTGATACGACAGCAAGCCAACTGCCTGTCTACTACCGAGATCCCCTAAGCGTAAAGGTCAAGGGAAGCAGCCATGGGGTGGGCAGATTGAGTCACTTGTTGCTTCATAACCTTCTCTGCCTCGGCCACGGCATCCGTACAGACCTTGAGGCATTTCAACAAACGAACAGATTGAGAAGCTGCAGCTACCTGATGCCCAAGACCTCTGCTTCCACTATGCAGCATGATACAAACAGTGCCAAGTTTGAGACCCATCGCGGAAGCTGCTTCTTCATCGTATACTTCCTCCACCACTTGAACCTCTGCGTAGTGATTGCCGGAACCTGCAAACATACCCGATGGTAAGAGTCAAATGCAGAACCTTCGCTTTGCACACCAAGTGACCCGCATTGATTTCTTCCTCGCGCTTTCGCACGGTCACTCACAGCATCTGGGTCTGCGCCTTCGAAAGATCCTCTCTCTTCGACCCTGTCATTCATGATAATCACTCCCGAACTCATCAAACTTGTTTCCTTGCTTACACTTCCCGATCTTCCGGCCAACACAAATTCCTCTCCTCAGCCCACGCCATTCCTCGCCGGAGGATATCATCAAGCTCCTGTGCATACAGACTCAACTCCCTCCAAGCTCTCCGTGTTGCTGAAACCTTGCCGTCCGCTTGACCCAACACACTTCCTTCACCCTGCGATGCAGTGAATGTCACAACAGTAGCGCAGGACTGGCGCATGGAAACTCACAACTCCCACTGGGATGTTCTTGAAGAGGAGATCTGCAAGCCGATTCTTCAATGCAGCATCACCTATCACATCGCGCTCGTGAAGGTTTGTACGCAGCAACCGAACCCCGCAGTTGATATCGAAGCCGACACCGCCTGCAAGAGATTGAGATGTGTGGACGTTTATCTGCTGCCAACCTGGAGAGACGACAGAATCATCATCATCCATGTCAACAGCCGCGACATTTCCTATCGCAAATCCATATCCGCTATGGATGTCGGGCATGCCTATAGAGCTCGACACCACTCCAGGTAGCGTTGCTACGTTGGAAAGCTGCTGGATGGCGGACAGAAAGCCTCCCTTGCTCCCATTTGCCTGGTTCTCAAGCATCTCCTTCAACACCTGCTTCAAGAGAGGCTTGTTGGCATAGAAACTCGCACTCGATCTCATCCCCTCAATGTGTCCTTTGGGTATCGTAAATAGCTGGTTGCCGTCCCATTGGATGTACGGCGCCGACTTGAGCATGCTCTCGATGCTGGTATCGTCGATCTCAATACTTTTCCTTGCACGATCATCACTCAATCCACCTCCCCGCAGATGCCAGTTTCCTCTTTTCGACATTTTCTCTTCATCCTGGTTATTGGCGCGGGCTTTGGGTTTCCTCGAGAACAAGTTGCTAAGTAGCCTTGCTGGATATTTGTACAACCAGGCCTCTCCAACAGCAATCTTCTTCCTTATCGTGCTAAGAATTTGCATTCCTCCTCTCTCCGTGCCCTTGCTCTCCCTCGAACTTCGCCATAGCCCTCCTCCTCTCAGACGGAGCGGCTCGGCTCCTAATGCACCCAGGCTCCCGTAAGAGGCTGTGCATGTGTGAGAGGCAGGAGCGGAGCCGTGGGAACAGCAGACGACGGCAGAGAGCGCAAGGAGGAAGAGGAAGAGAAGGCTGGAGCATGGCGAGGATGGCCGGTGGCGGCGCCTGTGGGCGCCTGGTAGGATAGCCATGATGTGCCTGTTAGCTGGAATTTCAATGTTCATACAGTAATTTCATACCACCCCACCGTTTGTAAGCTTTCATATCTGTCAGAAACGGGAGTCGATACAATAATTTCAAATATCATTTCCTTGATTTCAAATTTTACAACTCAATTTAAACTTTACTCAAATACCCAGAACTTCGTACGAACGAAGGTGAGTGGGAAAGGGTGGGGTATCTATTTTGTTTCGGAGGGGTGGGGTAAATGAGGGGCTCCTGGGCGGGGGAAATGCGGAAGTGCGAAAAGAGTAGCGGTGATAGTGTGAGCAAGTAGGAGGAGAGAGCTGGTAGAGAAGGAGGAGAGAGTTGGTAGAGAAGAAGCATAAGGTTTGTTCGTTCTCAGCCTGAAAGAGAGGAGAACGCTCTCCATCCACTCCTCGACCACACTCGTTGCCCTCCCTGCGCATCGGGAATTTTGAGTTGGAAGTTTTTTTAGCCGAGCAGGAGGATGGGCATCAAGGGACTGCGACAGGCCGTAGCGGCACACATGAGGGAGGGACATGTCAAGGAGATTGCCGGCAAGACTGTGGTGTGCGATGGACACGCATGGCTGCACAAGGCGGCGTTTGGATGCGCTTTTGACATTGCCATGGGCAAACCGACTGACAAGTACATCGAGTACTGCATGCACCTTGTGAACATGCTCAAGTTCTATGGCGTCACCCCCATTATCGTGTTGGACGGGCGTTCTCTTCCCGGAAAGGCTCGCGTCAACAGCGAGCGAAATGCAAGGAGGGAGAGCCAGCGGGCGCTGGGCATGGAGCTGCTGCGCCGCGGGGATCGTTCAGGAGCCTTGAAGTGCTTGCAGCAGTCCATCCATGTGACGGCAGAGATGGCACATGCGTTCCATGCGCGCCTGCAGAGCGAGAAAGTGACATGCATCGTGTCGCCGTACGAGGCCGATGCACAGATGTCGTACATGGTGAGAAAGGGGATGGCTCAGGCTGTGATCTCGGAGGACAGCGACATGGTTCCCTTTGGGGTTGACATGATACTCTACAAGATGGACACGAGCGGGAGCTGCTGCATCTTCGAGAACAAGCCTCTCGGGGAGGGGAACAAGAAGTCAATGGACGTCAGCAAGCTGAGCGGAGACGCGAGGATCCATATGTGTATCCTTGCTGGGTGCGACTATCTACAGAGCATCCCAGGGATTGGCATCCAGAAGGCCTACGGGCTGATCAGGGAGCACGGGGACGGAAAAAAGGCGATAGAGGCTCTGAGAAAGCATCCCAAGATGAAGGAGAAGGTACCGGATGGGTACGAGGACGCGTTCGAGCGAGCGGAGAAGCTTTTCAAACACCAGTGGGTCTACGATATGGAGGAGAGGAAGTTGGTCAACATGACGCAAGTCCCGGAGGATCACGACGCTGCGCAGCTCGAGGAGATTATCGGGCAGAGGATGTCTGACGAGGACGCGTACAAGGTGTGCGAGGCAGGGACCCATCACCACAAGACCCTCCAGCCCTTCTCCTCCTCCTCCTCCTCCACCAATACCACCTCGACCTCCTCTTCTTCCTCCAACAAACACGCTGCCCCCTCATCCTCTACCACTTCCTCTCTGTCCTCCTTCTTCAAACCTGCAGGGACAGCAGGGAAAGAATCTAGTGCTGCCAACGGGGGGCAGATGAAGGAGCAGGGAAGGGCTCAAAACGTTTCCTCCAAGGCAACAGGAAAGAAGAATACCTCCTCTCCTCCGAAACTCTTCAGACCCAAAACGCCGAACGCAGGAACAAATTCAACCTCCTTCTCCTCCGAGCTGCTGGCGATCATGCCAGACAAGCTTGACGATCCCCCGAGCAGCCTTGCGCAGGAGGATGGGCAAGCAGAGCTGCCTGAGGCTGATGATGACGTGGATCGTTCGAAATTTGAAGGAGCGGAGGAGGAGAATATGGAAAAGATGGAAACGGAGGAGTACAGCCATCAGGATATGGACCAGGAGGATGGGGAGGAGGAAGGAACCAAGAAGGCTCAAGAGGGTGCAAAGGAGCAGGAGCAGGAGCAGGAGCAGGAGCAGGAGCAGGAGCAGGAGCAGGAGCAGGAGCAGGAGCAGGAGGAAGTCAAGGAGCAGGAGCAGGAGAAGGAGAGGGAGAAGGAAGAACCCGTGGAGGCTTCGCTGGAGCATGGGGAGATGGAGGTGGATGTGATCGACCTCCTGCACTGCGAGGAGGTGAAGCGAGTGAAGCAAAAGGGAAGGCGATCTCCCTTGCAGAAAAGAACGGGAACAGGGTCGAGCAAGAAGATTTCGACACCTCCTACCGTCAGGAAACGGCAGGACGTGCTGAAGAACTTGTTCGCCAGGCCTGGCCAGCGGGACAAGGCGGAGGAGGGGAAGGCGGAGCAGAAGGAACAGAAAGGAGAAGCAAACACGGGAGGACAAGAGAAGAGTGTAGGGGACGACAGCGAAGTTACCTGCCGCGACAAGGAGGAGGCAGCAGTGGTTAGGATGAAGCCTTTGCATGCAAGGGCGGACAAAAGGACTGCAAGCAGGCCCGCGGCTGAGAGGTCGAGGAAGAAGCTCAGGAAGGAGGTGAAGGTGACGAGTGGGAAGGGACCCATGGACGCCTTCCTGGTCGCCATGAACAAGTGAAGACAGCGCTTGTCAACAATGAATATCTTACAGACTGAATCATCACAATACCTTCTCCTCCCCTCTTACTCCTTCCTCTTTCCTTTCTCCTGCTCCTCCCTCCACCCCTACTCTTGCTCCTGCTCCTGCTCCTGCTCTTTCTCGTCGAAGCTGAACCAGTTAAACACCCTTGGCCTTTCCCCCTCCTCCTGATGCTTCAAGAGGTCTCGTCCTGCCCTGTCCTTCATGGCCACTTGAAGCTCGCTTCGTTGAGCACGACGTCTTCCGCAGTTAGAAATCTCAACACGTAGGGCGTGCCAGGTGCAGCTCGCAGCATCAAGTTTGCCTGCAATCTTCGTCATCCTCCTCCTCCTCCTCCTCCTCCTCCTCCTCCTCCTCCCTATCATCATCATCATCATCTTCACCACCACCATCCTCCTCCTCTATCCTCTTCTATCTCGACCTTCCTCTACCTCCCCTCCGCTCTTTTCCCGCTCCTCCTCTCGCAACTCACATGCTTGTTGCGATTCAATGTGATAGTCTGCTTCCCCGACGATCGCACGTTCTGATTCTCTCCGATCTTGATGCTCCCTTGGGGCTCGGCGAGAGACGCTCCCTTCCTGTACAGACCGATCCACATGCCGCTCGAGGCTGCCGCTGCGGGCTGAACGTCCCACTCCACGTCCACCTGCAACTTCAGAGTCAAATCGCTCTCGAGGACCTTCAATGTCTTTCGCCTTCCTTCTCCTTCCTCCCCCTGGGTTGCGATCCCTGAACTCACCTCCCTGCGCCCCCTCCACGCTAACCATATTCATCTGCTCCTCTCCTACTCTCCGCTCTATCCCCACTCCCTCCTCCTGCTCCTGCGCCTCCCTGCCATCACCTCGAGCAACTTGGCATTGTAGCGATAGGCGTATTTCATGGAAACAGAGCCCACAACAACCTCAGCCGTCGCCTGCACCTTTCCGAGTGCCACCATGCCTGCAAGAAGGTTTCAGGAGGAGGAGTGCAAGAAATGTGTGAGAGAGAGCAGGCTGGGTGAAGGAGGGGAGGCCAGGACGAGGAAAGAGAGCAGAACAAGAAGAGAGGAGAGGAGGGAGGGAGGGAGGGAGGGAGGGAGGGAGGGAAGGAGGGAGAGAGGTGGGAGGGAGAGAGGTGGCAAGACCTAGAGTGTACGTTGCCGATGGGATACCCGAGACGTCCAACGTCACGATCCCTTCCCGCTGACCCTCAACTGTCCCGAGCTTGTACCACGAGTCTCGCTGCTCGTTTTGGAAGAGACCGAACTCCTGAGAAGCAATGAGACCAGATGAGGGCAAGAAAGGAGACGAAGACGGAGGAGCAGAAAGGAGAGGAGGGTGAGGAGGAAGGGGGTTCTGGAGGACTTGGAGGGGGAAGGGGAGGAGGGGAGGAGTAGACGGAGAAGGAGTAGGCGAAGGAGGAGAGGAGGAGGAGAAGGACAAACCTTGGAAGAAGGCGGGTTCGAGTCCTGCTCGAGAGGCATGCTAAACTCAGCCCTCAAAGTGCTGAAGCACAGGTGGGGAGCGACTAGCCGGACGGGCTGGGGTGTTGTGACGGTCTTGGCCGCCTCCTCTGCCTGCTGATTGTGCTTTGCCCGCAGCTTCTTCGCCTCTTCCTCGTCTTGCCATCGCTGAGCAAAACGTGTCCTCGATTCGGCAATGAACTGAGCCGACAGAAGGTCAGCACTTCTACAACAGGAGGAGGAGGACAGAGGGGGGAGAAGAGGGTGGTGGTGGTGGTGGTGGTGGTGGTGGTGGTGGTGGTGGTGGTGGTGGTGGTGGAGGAGGAGGCCACCTTCTTCTTCGCGTCCTCCGCTGCCGGCTCTACGGCGCTGCATCGCTCCACCACCACCACGTCCGGCCACAGGCGCTGCAGAGGGAGCTGATATCCCCTGCTGACCCCGAACTCGTTGCTTCCCAGGTACTTGGCATAGTACACCGCAAACTCCCCAGCTGGAAGAGGAGGCAGGGACAAGACCCCGGTGGAGGCGCAGGTGGACCCAGCAGCCCAGGAGCTCTTTCCCCCGCAGATGTGGAGGGGGTCCGACGCAGCTGCAGCCCACCCTCCTGCTGGGGTCCAGGGCGTGACGTCCTTGCGGAAGACCTTGGAGAGTGTGAGGCGAGGGAGAGCGAGGAAGAAGACGAAGAAGGGAGAGGGGAGAGCAAAACAGATGAGGAGTGATGGCGGCAAGACGAGGACGGGGAAGAAAGTGAACGGGACGAGGAGAGGAGGACGAGGAGAAGGAAGTTGGAACAAGCATAAAGGTTCCGCATCACCTGGACGTATCCACCAGGTACAAACTTCGCCTCCTCCTCCTGCAACGACCACGAGATGAAGGGTCTCTGCTCCGTTTTGCCCGTCTGCGTGCAGACAACGTTGGAACCGACCACGATCTTGTTCTCGCAGAGAGGGCCGAAGTGACCAGGACGGCACACGCAGGAGCACGTCCGAGGGTCGAGCTTTCCTCCCTCGCTGCATTTGAGGGAGCAAACACTGCAAGTGTCTCCCGTCCACTCCCCCTGGCAGCGGCAGCGGCAGCGCTTGTCCAGCTCAGCCCCGTTAGAGCAAACTTTAGACCCGCAGATCGAGGGCTTCTGGGGAGTGATGAACCACACGCTGTCATGCCAGAGAGGAGGAGAAGGAGGGGGAAGGGGAGGAGGAGGAGGAGGAGGAGGAGGAGGAGGAGGAGGAGAAGGAAGGGAATAGAAGAGGAAGCAAATGACAAGGAGGATTCAACAAGAGCAGAAGGATAAGAGGAAGAGGAGAAGAACGTCAGAAGAAGCAAGTCAACTGCCCTCCACCCTCTTACCCGAGGCTCTCAATTCCGCACTCGTCGACTCCCCTCTTGATCTTGAACCTTCCCTTGTCCCCCCATTTCTCTGACCAGGAGTTCTGAAGGAGCCAGTAGTCCTGCCCTGTCTCCTTATCCGTCCCCCACCCCACCATCATCACGGCATGACCCCCAGTCTTCCCTTGCGCGAGCGCCTCCTTGCTCGCCGAGTACACCCCACCCGTGTACGCCATGAAGTCCGAGTACACCCAGAACGCGGCGAAGACGGGCCCGTTGCTCAGAATCTCCGACTGGATCTGGCGGACGTTGTCTTGGATGACGCCGAGTGAAGAGGCCTTCACTGAGTAGTCCGGGCCGAGACTGCAGACGTCCGAGCAGGCTGGCCCTCCTCCTCCGACATCCTTGGCAAGATAGGGCATGCACCATCCGGGAACACGGCCGCTGGTGTACATCTGAGAGTAGCGACAAGTTAAGAGGAGGCAGAAGAGCGAACCGAGGGAGGGCATGAGGAGGAGGAAAGCCGGAGGAGGAGAGAGAGCCGGTGGTGGTGATAGTATTGGAGGAGAGTACGAGACTTCACCTGTTCGAAGGTATCGATCGCATTCCCGCCGCTGCATCCATCATTTGAATTGCAAGAAACCTGCTTTCATGTCAAACTGACATCGCGCCTTCTCAACTTCCTCACAATCTGCTGGGGACTCAGATCGATGTTGAACTGTCCTCCTGTCTGAGCACACAGGCGAGCCTGGAATCCGACTTCAGAGAAGCAGAAGAGACAGAAAAAGGAGAAAGAGAAGAAAAAGAGTGAAAACGAGGAAGAGGATGGGAGGAACGACGTCGAGGGACACAAGAGGAGGAAGACGATAACGATGATCATGATTATGATGAGTACGAATAGGAGGGGGAGGAGAAGAGTTAGTGACCGAGTAGACTGCAGCAGCAGCGAAGGCATAACACGACCCGCAGCTCTTCTGGTCCTTGGGAGTGAAGGCCTTGCAGCTTGAGAACCTCTCTGAAGCGTCGTACTCATCTACAGCCATACGTCAACTGGCGTCCCAAGTCTGCAAGCCCGAGGGAAACCTGGAATGACTTCGAGCAGCAGCATCGTTGTCTGTTTCCTGATGCGCAGAACCTCGGACGCATTCGGAGGCTTGTACCCCAGGCTCGTCGGCTGTCGATCTTTGTATGCTGCCGGCCATGCGATCCCGTTGTTGGACCAGCTTGCGTTGTTCGGCCAGACCAGGTCCTGACCCCAATTGAGATTACCTGAGATCCACTGTGTCAAAACAGAGGAGATACATAGTTGTCGATGATGAGAAGGACAAGGAAGAAGCGTGGGGGTAGCGGAGGATACAGGAAGAGGAGAGGGAGGGGAGGGGAGGGGAGAAGGAAGAGCACCATTGGAGGATGGCTGGGACGGAGGAGGTGACGAGGAGGGAGGAGCCTGCGGTCTTGGGATGTTCTCTGGTTGATTCCTGGGCCATTCGATCTCATTCACATTGGAACCAGCAGCCGACTGGTTGCCTTGACAGGGGGATGGGTGCACTGATCTTATCTTGAACATGCCGAGAAGCTCTGGGATTTGGTCCTTGTGCCTCGTCGATGCTGGGACACGATCCTTGAAGGCTGGCAAGCGAACAACAGAGAGCGAGTAGATGTACTTGTCCTCCACGAGCAGCGCCATCTTCATTCTGAAAGTTTTCATCAGTGTCCCATTGCAACCGTAATGGTTGGAAAGGAAGCTGGGCGGGGAGGGGAGGTTGGCAAGGTGGAATTTGGTGGTGGAGGAAAGGGTTTGCAGCTCATGACAACGGATGTGAACAGGGTCAGGAACGGTCGAGCAGCTTCACCTGTAACCGCCATCGATGATCCTTGCTTGGGCCGAGGTAATCTTGTAGTAAGAGTATCCTCGCATACCGCAGAGAGCTCTGTCCTGATTGATGCGGGCGAAGCAATACTCTCCTCCCTGCACAGCTTCATCGCTGTTCGTATCGAGGACTCTGATCCCATCGAGGAGCGGATAGTCAGCCTCCTCCTCATTCACCTCAGTCGGAACGCCAGGGGTCTCCTGAGTCCAGTCCTTGACCCACATGGGGAGGAGCTCGCTTCCTCGTCGAGTGTCAGCGCGATCGTCTCTCATCCCAAGTCCGACCATGGCCACTGCAACTGCCGCCATTGAGAGACCGATGAGGAGGAGGGCAGCCTGCCGCCTCCTACCCCTCTGACCTTGAACATCAACAGGTGCCACAAGCTCCCTCCCCTCCCTTGTCCTCCCTCCTTCCATCCTTGACGACGATCGAGCACTCACTTCAGTCTGCTCCTCCTGGTCTTGTCCTCTTGTCTCTCCTTCACTTCCTCTCGCCCTTCCTCCCCTTCTCCCTCACCACAGCAAAACCCAATCTGCCATGGCGCCAGAAATAGGAGGGTGCGAGGGGGGACGAGGGGTTTTGTGGGGATTGCGGGGGGATGTGGGTACCGCTATTTCGGGCATGGCGGGCAGAGCAAGGTGGGCAGCTACATGGTTGGCGCTGGCAGCGCTGGCGGCAATGGTGGTTCTGATAGCGCAAGGAGACGGTGAAGGAAGGGAGAAGGTGAGCCCGTCCCTCCTGCTCCTGCTCCTGCTCTCCTCCCTCCCTCCCTTCCGTGTTCCGCCATCCCTTCGTTTCACCCTCCTTCCGCTCGGCAGCCTCTTGCGGCGTCTTGATCGCTCGTTTTCTCAGGGCTCCAGTCTGGCCGAGTACGACAAGTTTGGTATCCCAAAGGATGAAGCTGTTGACTCGCCCATCGACCACAAGCTACACCTCGAGAAGCAACTGCTGCAAACCGTAACTGAGCTCGGGAACGTTGACGGTTGTGCTGACATGTCGGTGTAGATCAAGGGTCTCCAGCAAAGGGTTGACGGCCTCTCGTCCGAGATGGAGAAGATCAAGGAATCTTCAGTGGGTAGCTCGCACAGCAAGGAAGGCGCGATGAAGCGCCTCTTGCACAAGCATCAAACACTGGAGAAGGATCGGTACGCGCCGGTAGTGGTTCCTGAGGAGAAGGAGAATGCGAGGAGACAGGAGGAGGAGCCGGCGCAAGGCGAGCAGGAGCAGATGGAGCAGGACCACCAGGAAGCAGCTGTCGAGGACAGACATGCGCCCAACCGTCAGCATGTTCGAGCGCAGGTTGCAAGGGAGCCGGTCATGTCGGTTGAGGGGCAGAGAGAAATGGACGAGATGATCGGCATGCAGATCGGGAAGGCGATCAGTCGAGCAGTGGCAGGAACTCTCAAGGAGGAGATCCACCACGTCCTCGTCTCCGAGTTGTCCAGAGAGAAGGCGGCGAAGGCTTCAAAGCATGTACCTGCGAAGCAGCAGCGCAACAACCAGCAGGTCGCCGCCAAAAGAAGCGCACCAAAGGAAGCCTATCCAGCAGCCACGTCGCCGCCTGTGAAAGTTGGTCATCCAGTCGAGGCCAAGAAGGCAGCAGCTGCTGTGGGAGCAGGAGGAGCTCGCAAGGTCGCAGCCTCGCAGGAGGAACCTGCTGCTGCAAATGCACAAGACCCGAGGAAGGAGCTCGACGAGCTTCAATCCAAGGTGGAGACGTTGGCAGCAATGGAACGAGAGGCGCTGGACAACCTCCCGCAGGTCATGATGATGATGATGAGGAGGGGGAGGAGAAGGACAAGGAGTTGAGGGGATGGTGGTGGTGGTGGTGGAGGAGGAGGAGGAGGAAGAGGACGGGAAGAGAAATTTCGATGATAGCGAGGAGAGCGATGCTTTCAGCCAGCTGAATTCTTCGCAGGTAGAGAACAAGGAGGCTCTTGCCCGCTCCTCCATCGCCAGCACCCTTCAGTCCCTGAGGATAGCCAAGGACAGGTTAGCTTCCTGCTGGGGAGGAGCGGCGAGGCTGACGGAGGAGCAGGAGCGTGTTGGCGCAGCGAGCTGTGGATGACGATAAAGTGACATCGAACATGCAGCAGCTCAAGTTCGATCAGATGACCGCACAGCGCGCGACTGAGATCGAGGATGCGGTAAGAGGATGGAGAGAGCGGGATAGTGGATGGAGAGAACGGGGTGAGGGGGGTCGAAGGGAGACGGAGAGAGGAGGGAGGTGATGGAGGAGAGGAGGAAGGTGGTGGAGCTGACGTGACGGGCAGGTGAAGAGGGAGTTGCAGAAGGAGCTTCATCGGCAGGCGGAGCTGAAGCTGGAGGCAGAGAGAGGCCCGCTGCTCGCTCGGCGACTGCACCTGGCCAGGAAGGAGCTGAGGGAGGAGAAGGATAAGATGAAGAGATGGTCGGAGGAGCAGGAGGCGCAGAAGCTGGAGGAGAACATGAACTTTGCAGCCTGAGGAGGAGGAGAGCTGGGTGTTCACTTGATATTGTTTGTCTTGTTTCTCTGTCTCGTCCCTTTTCCTTCCGCTTGCTCCCTCTCACTTATCTGTAATCCTTTTCTTCTTCTCTTCTCCTCTCTTCCCTTCTGTCTCTCTATCTCTTTCTGTCTTTCTTTAAACTTTTTTAAAAAATTGCTTATCATCCCGCCTTCCCGCATATCGCGAGCTGATGGAGGAACTGAAGAGCAGGAGGCGAGAAGGTGAGAAGGGTGAAAGCACCATGAGATTAGGAACGATGCAGAAATCGTGGATTCGAGTGCATATGGAAGGTGGATGAAGTGGAGGAGGAGGAGGAAGAGGAGGAGGAAGAGACAAACAGTGTCAGTTCCGCAAGGAAGAGAGGAATATCGACCTGATCGGGGCTAATCATGTCCGTCGTTCCATAGCAACTGGAAACTCCAACCTGAAGCAGGAAGTAAGGGAGGACGGAGAGAGCAGGCGAAGCAAGGAGAGGAGGCGGAGGCGGAGGGAGGGGGGAGTAGGGGATGCGAGAAGTAGGAGGGAGGAGGGGGAGAGGGAAGGAGAATCACCTGGTCCAGCGCCTTCCGTATGTCCATCATCTCAACGAAATTGCCACCGCCGTTGACGAAGACCATGGCATGCGTGACATCCGCGAGGGCATCACTGACTGAAGTCAGCAGGAGGTGGAGGGGAGTGGAGAGCAGGGAGGAGGGATGAAAGTGAGTAAGTGAGAGAGCAGGGAGGAAGGGAGAGAGAGCAGGGAGGAAGGGGGAGAGAGCAGGGGAGAGATCAAGGGAGAGAAGGAGCCGGGGAGAACGAGAAGGGGGAGGGAGGCAGGAGAGGAGAAAATGCGGGAAATACCAAATCCTCATCTCATGGAAAGGATCGAAGGAGACGAAATTTCGGGAGATTTCTGCCTCTACGGAGGAGGGAAGTTTTTCATCCCCTCTCCCCTTTGCGCCTCCTCTCTCCATTCTCTCCTGCAGCGCATCTTGAAGCTGGATGACGAGCTGCCGTACCATCCTTGCCAGCGAGCTCTGCGCCGCGTCAGCAACTTGCTTCCTCCTGCTCCTGCTCCTGCTCCTGCTCCTGCTCCTGCTCCTGCTCCCCTCCTGTTCCTGCTCCTGCTCCTGCTCCCCTCCTGCTCCCGATTACCTGCACGTTTGCTGTCCCCGCCAGACTCAACCTTTCCGTGCTTGCCGACAAGATCCCTGCGACATGTCAAAGAGACAAAGCGAAACTTGTTGGCAGAAGAATGAGGAAAGGAGAACGAGTACAGAATGGGAAGAGAAGAGATGGTGAAGGAAGAAAGGGGATGGGAGGAGGGGGAGGAGGAGGAGGAGGAGGAGGAGGAGGAGGAGGAGGAGGAGGAGGAGCATACCTGCTACCATGCCTTTGGGACGGCCAAAGTCAAGGTTCGCATCCATTTTCTTGAGGTGCAGGAGGTGACTGAAAACACTCGTGTCGCTCCCTCCCGCCCTGCCGCGTTTCTCCGTCAGCGGCTGGGAAGAGATGGGAGGAGCTAAAGAGAAGTAGGGGGGGGGGGGGAGGGACAAGGAGCTGAGAGGAGGGAGGAGGGAGGGGAGGACGGAGTTTGTGAGGACGAGGCAGGAATAAACGAAGAATTCACTGAGAGATGAGAAAGAGGCGGGTTGGCCGCACGAGCGACGAAGAGCGAAAGGGAGAAAATGAAGGAGATGGCAGTGCAGGACGTAGAGGAGGAGGGGGAGGGTATGGAAGACCTGGGAGGGGAGTAAAGGGGAGTGGAGAGGGAGGGAGGAGGAATGACAAAGATAGGGAAGGAAGGGGAGGGAGGGGAGAAAAGGAGTCAGGGAGGAATCACCTGACGTATTTGAAGAGCTCTTGGAGGAGTTCGTCCTCTAAGGAGCAGCACATGTAGAGGATGAGAAAGAGCCTCATCCTGTCGTTGGCCGTGCAGGAAATTTTGACGCGATCCTCCTCCGGCACCTGGATCTTGTAGCCGGACAGGAGATCTTCGATGGCTGGACGCGCTTCAGAGGAGAGGATGGAGCTGAGGATGAGGGGTAGAGGGGGATTGGGGGAAGGAGGGAAAGAGGAGTTGGGGGAAAGTAGGAAGAGGAGGAGAAGAACGACGAAAGTTAGAGGAGAGGTGGTGGCGGTAGTGGATGGAGATAGGGCATAAGGAGTGGGAAGAGGGAGAGAGAGAGCAGGTCAACCGTCGATGTTGGGAGCGTGAGGTTTCGACAGGATTTTCGATTCGACTTCGTAGAAGTCATCTAGCCCCCTCTTCTCAATCTCCTGCTCCTCCAATCAGCATCATCACCGCATTAGGGTATCTTGCTACTGCCCCACTCCTCCTCTTCCTTCATTCCTTCCTCCTCCTTCCTACGTCATAACCCCTGCGAGTCCTTCTTGTTTCTTCTCCCTAGCCTTCTCCTCCCCTTCCTCCCTCGCCTCCTCCTCCCCTTCCTCCCTCGCCTCCTTCTCCCCTCCCTCCCTCCCCTCCCTCCCTCCTCCCTCTTGCCTCCTGCTCCTTCGTCTGACCCCCATGCTTCATACCTCCGCAAGGTTCGTGACTATCTTCATGTGAGCATCTAGAATACGACCGCGAAAGGCTCTGCACAGAAGGAGTCAGCAAATCTTCTTCCTCTCCTCCAACCGATTCCCCCATCCTCTGATCCTCCCCTCAACTTTTTCAATGTCCCTTCTTTCAACCTCCTCCTCTTGTTCCCCTTTGCCCCCGTCCTCCTCAAATCCTGCTTGTATCTTCCTCCAGCCGTCTTTCTCTCCCACTACCTCTTCATCCCGTCCTCTGTGCAAGTCGTTCCATTGTCCCACCTTCCCCTCTCCTCCTCGCCTCTCACTTACTGTTTCAATTCTGCTCTGAGAGGAGACTCGGGATCCACCTCCTCGTCCTGTTTGAACAATTTTTGAGGAAAAGCTGGGGGAGAGGGCAAGCTGGAGGAGGGGCGAGTGAAGAGAGGAAGAAGGAGAGCGGAGAGAAAGAGCAGGAGCAGGAGGAGAGCAGGAGCAGGAGGAACAGGAGCAGGAGAGCAGCAGCAGGAGGAGGAGCAGCAGTAGTAGAACCAGGGGCAGGAGGGCAAAGGGGAGAGTACTTTATCAAAGGACAGCCGGTCCTGCAGATCCTTCACCACGTTGGGGATGGTATCGTTGAGGTTCTTACACCAGAAATTATCCTCCTTGCCTGTAGCTGTGTGAGACTTTTGATGACGTGGCAGCGGGAAATGAGAAGAGAGAGCAAACGATACAAAGGCAACGAATTCAAGGCGGGAGACGATCAGTCAGACAGATGGAGGAGGAGCAGGAGCAGCAGAAATCAGAGCAGAGCAGAAGTAGGTGGAGACAAGGAAGTAGTAGTAGTAGGAGTAGTAGGAGGAGGAGGAGTAGGAGTAGGAGGAGGAGGAGTAGGAGGAGGAGGAGTAGGAGGTGGTGGAAGAGGAAAGGAATAGCGGGACAGGAGAGGGAGTAGGAGCATAAGGAAAGGGAAGGTCATAACGTACTCAAGGGCCAGAAGAAGTGCTTAGGAGAAGTGCTGTTTGAAGATTGCTCTATAACCCCACCTCATGTCAGTGAGCATTATCAACAAAAGTGCCGGAAACACATCTTCTTGAAGTTTGCAAGACATCGCTCCCCTCTCCTTAGCCCTGATGGCCTCCACCATGAACTTTTGTCATCTTTCTCCTCCTCCTCCTTATCGTCGTCGTCGTGGTCGTCCCATCCTCCTCCTCCTCCTCCTCCTCCTCCTCATCATCATCATCATCATCACCATCTGAGTTGGACCATTGCAATCGTTTCAATGATGTCGTACTTCACCTTGTTTCGTCGGGATGGCAACCGTGTTGACATGTATACCAAGACAGTCATGGATCAGCGGTCTGTATTCGCAATGATGATGCAGCATGATCGGAAAATCGACAATCTGCAAACAGTCTTACATCCCATCATCCATCATCACAGACAAGAAGCGTGTCGTGCAATGTCCAGAGATCAGAGAAAGACAGCTATCACATCTCCTCACCCGGTCTGCGATCACAAGGATGGGACGAGGGGTCTCATCTATCTCAGGGTTCTCCCCGTCCTTTGTGGGCTCGAACGAGTAGATATGCCTCCCGAGCTGCTCATTGATCTTCGCCCTCAACCTCTCTGCGACCCTGATTGCCCACATGCTGCGATGTTGCGTTTCAAGTTTGTTTGTTCGGTCGGAGATGCAAGGATTGGTTGCAGAGAAAACACGATCAGCAAGATTGAAAGGGAGAGGCAACCTCCAATCTCTCGTACCTCTTCTGCGCGAAGATCACTGGCTTCAGGTTGCAAGTGATCAGAACGTTAAGAAGTCCTTCAGAGATTTGCTGCAAACTCCGTCTTCAGGCGCAAACATCGCAGGACAGGTTCTGGATACCTCTACCATGTCATGGTAATCGCCTTTCTTATGACACATATGCAGGTTAGAGTAGCAATCTCTCAAGCCCAGCTCGAACATGTCGTCGTCTGCAAGTGAGCTCTTCCTTCAGTAAATTGTACACTTGTGAACAGGATTGCAATCAAGACCGAGAGAGATGAAGTCTATCGGAAGAGTGATACACGAGCTGAGAGTTGCCTTGAGAGCATCTTCCGGAAACTCCTGAGCAACCAGCCTGTCACCTTCGGGACTAAGAACGTGTCGTTTGAGAAGAAGAAATCCACGAGGAGAAAGTGCTACAATCGTCGTCTTCATCATCGTCCCATCATCATCATCATCAACAACGTCGTCGTCGTCGTCGTCGTCGTCGTCGTCGTCATTCGTGAAGATAACAAAAGACAACAGAACGATCATATTTAAAGTTCGGATCATTTACAAGCAATGTGTAGCAAGTGGCACGACAAATACAATTGCAAGCATGTCAACAGCAACAATCATGCAAACCTTGAAAATGTCATGCACTCTCGATGGATTATGCGGCCCTGACAGGTGTAGGTAATAAGATGTATATTGGTTTCTAAGGAAACTCTGCATGATCTGCTCGATCTGATCAGAGGACGAAAACATCAAGAATTCTTCATCAAGGGTCTTACAGCTTTGGCTGTGTGATTGTTCAATCGGCAGAACATCATCACCGGCACGTCCAGACTACCTTCACCCTCATTGATATGTTGGTGATTCACCACTCCGTGCAGCACTGGAAATCTCACAAGTCAACCCGACGGCAGCGAATCGGAGGGAAGTCAAGGGGATCACTTAAATCAAAAGGTCTGATAGCCATCGACAACACGTCTCTCCAGTGCTCGTCGTACTCTATCATGCGGAGAGCTCCGATTTCTGTCGTCGGTCAACGGGAGGGATGCGTTGCTAGTGATCAGGGCTTACTCATCGAGGAGTTGTAAGGTTTGACTCGACTGAGGACTTGTTCCAAGACTGAAGCTTGCTTCTTGACGAGAGACTGAGGAAGAGGAGGAGGAGGAGTATGTGAATGGGGAGGAGGAGGATGTGGAGGAGGAGAAGGGGGAGGAGAGTGAGATTCTCCTCTCCATCTCGAGCAAACAAGGAATCCTTACGTATGGCAACGACGACGCATGCACTCCTTGCACTTGCACCGCTTCCCCTTGGCCGCTACCGCCTCGAAGGCGAAGCCAAAGATCGCCTCGATGCAGATTTCCCACAGACGTCACACCTGGCAACACCTCGTCATGTGACGATGCAGGTGTACCACGGCCGGTCTCACATCCAATGGAAGGCAGCAGAAGGGCAAGGGTTGCCAGTCCCATGTGCATGACAGTCCTCGCGGGCGCCATGGGCTAGGCGTCTGAGCTGCAGGCTATTTAAGCATGCTGCTGCTGCTGATGATGACGATGATGATGGTGGTGGTGGTGGTGGTGGTGGCGGTGGCGGTGGTGGTGATGATGAGGAGGAGGAGAGGAAGGGGGGGGGGGGGGGAAGGGGCAGGTGGTTGTGGTAGAGGAGGAGGAGGTACTACCTCAAGAGGTTAACCGTGGCAGAAGTCGCGGTATCCCTGATGATCCTTACACCATCACAAAATTGTTGACCTTCGGCACCGAGTAAGAGCGGCACATGCTTCCTGTCAAGTCATCTTGTCTCGACCTCTGCTCTCGCTGCCCTGCTCTCGATATCACCTCCCTCACTTGACGGCCCTCGTTCCTTCCTCCTATGTTCCTCTTGCCCTTCCTTTCATATTTCTCTCCTCTCCTTTCCTTCTTGGTCTCCTCGTTTCTCCCCTTCTCCTCCTCCTCTCTTCTCATCTTCTCCCTCCCTCTCCTTCTCCATCACAACTCTCCCCTACTTCTCCTTCTCCTTCTCCTCCTTATCATGACGTCCTATCGTGCTGGACGCATTTCTTTCGGCAAGAGTGGTCGCATAATACATAGGATGTATCAGATGTATCCTTAAGGATACCAGGTATGAGGGGGATGATAAGAGGACCTCGGTGAGATGGCGAAGGAGCAAGTGGTTCGAGCGCTGATAGAGCTCGGCTTCGATGCTGAGAGGAGCGAGGCAGCGGCAGAAGCATGCGGAGACAGCGTGGAAGCGGCGGTTGCATGGCTCGTGCAAAGAGGCGAGCAGGGGAGCCAAGGGAGAGGAGCGAGCGGACAAGCTGTTTCTGGTGGACCCGGCGGACAGGTTTCGGAGGAGAGAAGCCGAGCTGAAGCGAGAGACGAGCAGATTGATGCTGTGGGCAGCGAGGGTCCTGTCGTGGATCAATCGGGAGGGAACGTGTGGAGTGTGGTTGGAGGTTGGCCAGAGGACCCCCTGGTTTGTCTTGCAGACACGAATCAATTCAATTTGCATGATACGGGAGATGGTTGGGTTGTGATGCATGCGACTATGGGTCAACCTCTTCTATTCATTGCGGAGACCAGCACATGGTATGGGAAGATGTTCGCAGGGGGAGCAAGAGAGGTTGAGTACATTCTTACCGATGTGGGGCGTCGGCCAATCGTCAAGATATCGAAAGCTTTCGGTTTTTTCTCGCAGGAAGCTAAGGTTTCTTACATTGTAGCACCAGAAAACGCCATCCTGGCGGACCGCTTGTCGATAGGCTCCATCAAGCAAGAGACTACGTTCTCACGTCGCACATTCCTTGTCTCGGATTCAACTCCGCATCATGCTGCTGGCGACGTCACCATAGAAGCTCCCAGCTTTGCAGACAAGCCCTTCACGATCAAGCTCGGGGACAGTACTCTTGGTACCATCATGCAGCCGAAAAATGGACTTGGCGTCGCCTCAATCTCTCTGCATCCGAACGCGTTGGATCCTTTCCGGTCAAACAGGATGAGAGCGCTTTTGATCGCGGCTGCTGTAATCATCAGTGACGTCCATTGGGGCATGTCGCCTGGCCCAGCGACTATCTTGAAAGCTCTGCCGCATTAGCCTGTTGCAATATCCGACAAGAAATCTTGTTGCTCTCATTTACCTCGTCGGCCGGGCCCAGTCAATCGCCGCACATGAATTCAGCTGAACCGTTAATAATGATTGACCCGGGCAGAGTCTGTAAAAAGTAAAAAAACCAGTGATCGGGTGTCACTGTGTAGTTTTCGAGTTTCCAGGCCGTGGAATTCAAAGCCGTAGCTGGCCCAGTGGTCACTGGTGAGATCGGTGCCATGATAGTAACTTGACTGTGACTCCGAGGCTCAGCAGTTCCGAGTCAAGTGACCAGTGAGTCGGGACGGCAAGTTGACAGCCGCACTGACTCGTACTAGAGTCGAAGTATGGAGACATCATTCTTCAGTGAATGAAGCGGCTGCCCGCCACTGGCAGCCCTGCTGATCGGCGGCGGGCCCGGCGGGCCAAACGACGGTTTCGCCAGGCCTATTATCCCCTCCGACGCGAGCCCAGTTGCTTCCAAGTACCGGGTAGTCATGGTCTCACAGCTTCCAAGTACCGGGTAGTCATGGTCTCACAGGGCAAAGTACCGGGTCAGTAAAGCACCATAATTCCCATTTAGGTACCCGTAGTAGCCTCCACCCAGAGCCCGGAGCAAATTTCCTTTATTTTGGCAACACGTCAGCCCATGGCGAACCAGAGCAGGCGCATGCGCGCGAATGGGATCTGAGCTGGGCTAGAAGTGGAAGGAAGTAAGGCAAGAGCATTCTTTGAAGCATTTCTCTGCTACATAGCTCTTCAATCTTGTATCAGCGTGCCATACTCATCTGCATTTCTGCCAAAGGAGCTGCCCCGCACAAACTTCGCCAGCGAAGATGAGCGGCAATATTCAGAGCGTGGAGGTTGCTCCTCAGCCTCCTCCGTTCTCACCTCCTGTCCCCGTGGGTTCGGACTCGTCGAACTATGGCTCGGGGATCCTAGAGGATACGACATTGGACGAGCCTGTGCTGGACACAGTGAAAAGAGATTTGGGGATGGTCTGGACCAAGTTAACGAAAGTGATGATGCCTTCGAGGGATACACGGGATGAGCTACGAAACTGGTGAGTCCTGTGCTGGATGATTTCTTGCTCTGATCTCCGTTCACGCATGCAGGGATTTGTGGGGGCCTCTTTTTCTTTGTTTGATCCTCGCAATTCTACTCAGCATCGATGAATCTGGGAACATACAAGAGAGCACGAACAGAGATCGACCTGCGGTTGTCTTCTCCGTCATGCTGTTGGTGAACACTTACATGTCGTTGAGGGCATTCTCTGTTAACTTGAATTTCGCGTGTTTCAGGTTGTTTGGGTTGGAGCTGTTGTTGTGACAGTGAACGCGAAGCTATTGGGAGGAAATGTATCATTTTTTCAGGTTCTCTTTCACTTGTCATGGAGATCTCATGAGATTTTTTGATGTACATGACTGATTGAATTGTTCCATAGAGATTTGTGGTGAGCGATATCGTTGACTCCGTGTGTCACAGAACATTTGTCTGCTGGGGTACTGCGTGGCTCCGATGATTCTTGCCACTTCGCTTTGTATGATCGTCCGTGTCTCCATCCCCGACCAGGTTGTGATGTTTTCCCAGCAAGATGCTGTGACTGATGGTTGGAACAGTACTATTACTGCACTGAAATCAAAGTCCTCAACCTGCAGAATGTCACAGACCCAAGGACTATCCGTTGCAATGTATCCTCTTCTCGCGACGTCCTCTTCTTGCTCTGACTAGACTCCCACAGGGCTGGTCGGACGTCACGACATGCCCAGCTGGACGTCAGTGCGACGTCATCAAGGTCCCGACCATGTCGCCCGTTTGCCTTCGAGTTGGTTGACGCCTACGGCAGACTGGCGTTGCGAACGTTATTCTCCGCCTGCTCTTCTCCCTGGGAGGGATGCTGTGGTCCTTGCGGTCTTCTCTGGGTTTTCTCTCTGAGGTTATTGCCCGTTGTAACATCATGGCATGAGCGCTGACTGAGATGCTTCATGGGCAGGTGGTTGTTCCTCAGAGGCGCGCACTGGCTGCATACCCAGTCTTGCTGTTCTTCACTGCTATCACATGGATGATCATGTTAAGAACAAGCTCTGCATAATCTTTAAAGTACAGTTACTTGATACTACCACACATCGAATGAACACCTCACCGTTCAACGGTTACCGTACATACCGGCCGGGCCCGGCACGCTAGTCAGTGATGGGGGCAAAACTTCGACTCCTCTGAGGCGAGTCCGGGATGGGTTGTCAAGAAGAGTGAAATCCGTTGCTTCACCCCATCATGGCGCCAAGATGGCGGGGAGCCGCAGCGCTGCTCGTCATGCGGCTGACGATGGTGATGGGGCAGACGCCAGCAGGCCGAGCAGGTAGGAGGATAGCTGGGGAGTGAGGAGAGGACATGTCAAATCCTGTCCATCTCAGGGTACTCCCTCGGAAGCACATCTCAAACGAGCCTTGCAAGCGACTATACAACATTGGCTGGAGGTAAGGGTCTGTACCGATCTGTCAATCATCTGTCGAACATCAAGGAGGAAGGGGAATGACGTTGTCACTGCAGCTGTGATATCCTCGGACCCGACAACGTCTTACCAGTTCACCGTGGAGGCATGGGTGAAACTTGAGCCAGTATCGTCCTCTTCGTACGTGGGCGTTGTTGTGGGAGGCATCGACAGTGTGTCATCGGGAACATGCACATCCATAAGTGGTAAGAGACTGCGACACGTCGTTGACACACACGAGAGCACTCTCCTCATCGATCATGAAACTTTCAATCTCCTCTCGGTGTGCTGGGTTTCGGACAGAGTGAAAGGCATTTGCACATATTCGTCCTCCATCCTCACGATTTCTTCTCATCCTGTAACGTCGATTTTTTACTTCCAGGAAGCTGCTCCAATCCAGTTCCCCTCGGTGGTTGTTCCTCGAACTGTAGTTTATCCACCGTGACATCTCAGAAGTGTGACTTGTCAAAAATCGTGAAAAGTTCGAATCCTGAGAAAGGCTCTGGCAGATCATTCATGTTGTACTGCGGAGGACAAAATCAAGCCAGCGGACATTGCGGTATGATTGTTGTGTCAACATCACTGTCCTTTTGGCCTTGATTACATATGTACAGGACTTGCCGTCGTCAACACCAAACTTGTACAGGAAAGAAATGGAACTGAAGCAAGCATGTTGCTTCTGATTCTTGTTTGCACCAGATCACCACAGGACCGAACTCGATCCCGATGTCAACCTGGAACCATATTGCCGGTGAGGACGTCTTGTGGTCGAAAGCACGGGCAGAAGATGACATCTCATGTACACGGTAGCTTCTTTCATTAGTGGTTCTTTCAAGGTGAAGAAACACACCTTAACTTGGATCGAATGATCAGCTTTATCGGCATGACATCTGAAATGGCTGAACAGATTTATCTCAACGGCGCCCTAAAGGATTCTTTCACATTCAGCACTCTGTCGAGCATCCAAGGTTTACATGCTTTTATTCTGATTCTGTCAGTTGACATGCTGGTTTTCTTGTTGTCTTGTTTCCAAAGGTTCACATTCTCTCTCAATTGCAAGTAGAAAGACACTTGTAAGATAAAGGAGGGAGGCAGGGAGGCAGGGAGGCAGGGAGGCGGGCAGGAAGGGATGCAGGGAACGAGGGAGGGAGGGAAAGAGCACGTCGATTCAAAGAATGAAAACATTGAAGTTATGGACAATCAGGGAAGCGGGTTTGGATATGGCTGCTTCAGCGGCTCGTTGGATGAGATAAGAATATGGAAACAGGTAAGCTCTCAATCCAGATAGTGCAGGGAATGATGATCCTGATCGCGATGACCATTCTGACGGAGATCATGCGAATTGATGATAATGAAACGTGTCGTTAGCGTTTCTGATCGATCTGATCAGTTATGCTCCAGGTACGAAATCCTCAACAGACCATGATAGACATGCTGGATACTTCAGCAAAGGTCACAGACCTTGTGTATTACTGGTAGATGACATTCTACTCCCAATACCTCTATCAAGAAGTAAGCGTGATATTGCATTTTCCATTGATACAAGCTGGCAGGCAATTCAACGAGGGGGTCAAGGTTCAGAACTCAACTGGAAATCGTGTCATCATCGAGGGGATAACGGTCAGTGGGTCTAAGAGGGCTATGAAATCTTGAATACCATCTCACGTGATTGTTCAAGGGGACTCTTATGACTATCTCAACTATTCCAACATTCCAAACTCAACCCGTTGGTAAAGTCTTCGTTCCCCTCCTCTTCTCCACCGGGTCTTATGTGACCGTGTCTTGTCTTGTCTTGTCTTGTCTTGTCTTGTCTTGTCTTGTCTTGTCTTGTCTTTCTTTCTTAACCCTTCTCCATTGATGAATCAGACTTGCTCTGATAACTCACAAATGGTGATATGGGTATATCAACATCCCCTTCAAATCTACACACCCACCCTTTTTTTTTCTGATACAAGTTTTTTCAGTTGACGGAGCCACGTACATTGACAGACCAGCAAAGGCAGTGATCAGCGCAATCTCCGGTTGTACTTTGACAACTCTCCAAAACGGCAACATTGTCATCACATACAGGTCATCCACTCGTTTGCTATGCTAAGCACGACGACACATTTTTTCGACAATCTTCAACTGTTTGTTATCGTCTTTGATGTTCCACATGACCGAATGTCACTTATACTCATCTCAACCCTCTCGTTTCCTCCTTCATGGCTACATCTCTCCCCGACCTTGATTTCCGATTCCTGTTTGTTCACTTGCTCTCTAAAAGTTTTTTCTCTACAGCCTGGGGGTCGAAGGGAAATGGAAAATTGCTCTCAGCGATCAGAACCCCAACGACGGCATCTCCATCTCTGATCCTCCTTTTCTTCCAGCCCCATATGGCATTCCGCAGGTGAGGAGTAAGGAACAGGAGCAGGGAAGAGGGGGAAGAAATGTGCAGAAGTCTTACGACGCAAACTATGCAGGATGCAACTTTCAGTGATACTGGAACTGCTCCTTGTGTTGGCAGCACTCCTCCTTGTCTTCCTAGTTACTGCAACGGGAATGCCGAATGTCCTGTAAAATCTCCTTCTCTTCTCTTCCTCCTTATTCCATTCCTCGTCCTCCCTCGTCTACTCGCGTCCCTCCTCCATTTCATCCTCCTCTTCTCATTACCTCCCTATGCTTTTGCCTGCTGTCATCGTCCCCTTCCTACTGCTCTCCTTGCCCCTCCTTCCTCTCTCCTCCCTCTGCTTCGCCCGCCTCCTCCCTGACGCTTTTGGTCCTGCGTGCAGCCCAACCAGTTGATCGGTTCCTACATAGAGAGAGTTCTCACCTGGAACCCTCAGAACAACGCGGGCTGGGTCGTTCCTGCTGGGGGTTTTGAAATTCGAATCTCCTCAATTGAGAGGCCGACAAGTGGAAACTCGGCACAGATTCCAGCTCCCCAACGCACCATCCTCGTTCCTACTGTCTTCCTCTTTGTGCAGGTGGGTAGGAGAACATACAAGAGACGAGGAAGAGGACGACAAGAGGGAGGAGCGGAGGAGGCAGAGCGGAGAGAGGAGAGAGGAGAGAGGAGAGAGGAGAGAGGGGAGAGGAGAGAGGAGAGAGGAGAGAGGAGAGAGGAGAGAGGAGGGGAGAATTGCAGTGGCAGAAGGGAAGGAAGCGAGCTAGATAATGATTTCTCCCAGGCCAATCCAGAGTTTGTGAGTCCAACACCTGGAGGGCAGGTGATGATCCAAAAACATCTTACGGCTCCCCTCAAACCTCCTCGCATCCCTTCTCCCCTCCTCTTGCACGGCCCCCCCCCTGACGTCCATGTGGACAGGATACAGCCGCCTTCGTCTTCACGTCCTACATCGGAGAGGAAGTAGCGTTCACCATTCGGGTGCAGCAGCGAAACTTCGGGCAGCAGGTGGATATAGTCACCGCTGAGGTACAGGACTCTGCCTCCTCATACTCCTCCTCCTCCTCGTATTCCTCCTCCTCCTCCTGGTACTCCTCCACGTACTCCACCTCCTCCACGTACTCCTCCTCCTCCTCCTCGTACTTGTCCACCACCATCACCTCCTCCTCCTCCTCCTCCTCCTCCTCCTCCTCCTCCTTCCTCTCCTTCTGCCCCCATCCCTTGACGAGCTATTTCTTCCTCCAGGACCCTGGCCAACCAAATGGAGCTGTGACGTCAGCGCAAGAGGAGCAGGTCGCAACTGCCTCAACTCCATACTATGCGCAGAGATCGTAAGAGGCCAACATGCTGTGATGAGCCGCTGACACCTGACCATTCGATCAACTTCACCTTGACTGCTCCCTCCGTCCAATTTCTTTCTCCTCCCCTCTTCAATTTCTCCTTTACGGTTTTATCCTGCCCCTCTCCTCTCCTCTCCCCATCTCCTCCTCTCCTCCTCCTCTCCTCCTCCTCTCCTCCCCTCCTCTCCTCCTCCCCTCTCCCGTAGATTCTCCTGGACCCCCGTCTGCCAGCAGGCTGGTCTCGCTCGTGTCCTCTTCCTCGTCACCAGCCGAGAGGTTCCCTCCCTCAGCATCTCCAAGCTCATCCACATCGACGTCGTCACGCCGCAGCCCGTGATCCTCAACATCTCGACCTCGAGCAGGTGAGGCCGCGAGGGCTGCGAGAGGAGGAGGAGACAGAGCTGACGAGAGGGGGCGAGGACAGTCAGATGCGGGTAGGATGCGAGATGATGCTGGAGGTACAAGCGGCGGACGGGAGGGAGGAGACGAGGAGGAGGAACAACTCGGCGTACGGGCAGGACTTCAACTTCACCATCTGGCGGTGGGACGCGGGGAGGACGACGAGGACGGCGATGCCGCTGACGACAGCGGGGGTGAGCATAGGGGGGGCAGAGGCGAACGCGTACAACGGGACGACGGGGAGGTAGGCGAGAGGCGGAGACGAGGAGGGGGGAAGGGAGGAGAGGGGAGGGCAGGAGGGCGGGAGACAAGCAGGGGAGGAGAGGGGGCAGGGAGCTGACGAGGGAGGGGACGCAGGCTGATGTGGAAGCCGGTGAGGGGGCAGGAAGGAGGAGAGTACGAGATCTGCATGGTGGTGAGAGATGGATGTCACGTGGGGGTGCCGGCGGAAGGCTGCGTGAACATGAGCATCGCCAAGTGCCAAGCGTGTCTGGCAGCTGGGGACTCGCTGGAGGGGCTGGCGCGGCAGTACCGGACGGACTTCTTGTCCTTGTACACGTTCAACGTCGGGCTGGGTAAGGAAGGGGAGAGGCAGGGGGAGGGTGCGGGGAGGGGAGCGAGAAGGGGAGAAGGGACTGACAAGGAGGGGCAGGTAACCCAGACAGCGTCACGGTGGATCGACCGATCAACGTGGGCTTCCTCTACCGGGTGAGTCAAGAGGAGGAGGGGGAAGGAGGAGCTGAGAGGGGAGGGGCACAGGTGAAGGAGGGGGACACGCTGGACGAGCTTGGGAGGACGTTCTTCACGGAGATAGGAAGTCTTCTTGAGGCGAGGAGGGAGGAGGAGGGGGAGGAGGAACGAGAGGGGAGGAGGGAGGGGGAGGAGGGGAAGGACGAGCTGCGAGGGAAGGGGGACGTGGAGGGAAGGGGGATCGGAGGGAAGGGGGAAGGGGGAGGGGCTGAGAGGAGGAGGTGCAGGTGAACAGCGACATCGCGGAGAGGAACAACATTGCTACGGAATACTGGAGGGGAGGCACGGTTGTAGCGGGTAAGAAGGGGAGAGGGGGCTGAAGGGAGGAGGGGGCTGAAGGGAGGAGGAGGAGGAGGATGAGGATGAGGGCGAGGGCGAGGGCGAAGAAGAGGATGTTGACGAGCAAGAGAAGGAGGACAAGGAGGAAAAGGAAGGAAGAGCAGGAGGACGAGGAGCAGTACAAAGAGAGGGACAGAGAGAAGGGAGGAGGAAGGGGAGGACTTGAGGGGGAAGAGTGAAGGAGGGAGATTGCAATAGCTCTCTGACGTGAGAGGAGGAGCAGGGAACGTGAGTACTGTTATCATCTACCCCGGAGAAGATATCTGCATCGTCAATATGATGTGCCACGTTCAATGTGACAATACTGGTTGCTTGTCCACTCAGACCTTCGTCTGATGTACTCTTGTTACTTGCTCCCACTCCTCTTCCTCTCTCTCTCCCTCGTCCTCTTCCTCTTCCTGGTCCTACTTCACTCTTGAATTTTGTTTTCATGTACATAAATGCCTCCTGATGGTTGTAACGAGATGGGAGGAGAGAAGAGGAGAGGAGAGGAGTGGAGAGGAGAGGAGAGGAGAGGAGAGGAGAGGAGAGGAGAGGAGAGGAGAGGAGAGGAGAGGAGAGGAGAGGAGAGGAGAGGAGAGGAGAGGATGAGATAAAATGAAAGGTGAACATGACGCGACTGAGAGTGGAGGATGGCTTATTTTCTGACACAGGTCAAGAACGATCCAACAAGACATGACTGCAGGATTCAATCTTTCGTGTCTGCTCTTACTATACAACATGTACAACATTCATCTCAGCTTGCACTCTGACGACGAGCATTCCACTCTACACACGGAGGAGACAACGCAGACCTGACAAGAAAGCATGTGACAACACTGAGACAGCAGCATGATGTTTCTATCATCACCTTCTCGCCAGGTAGGATGAGAATACTGCTCGTGTTCCCTCCTACTCTCTCCGAGTCAACACATCCTCCTCCTCCTCCTCCTCCTTTTTCCTCAGCCTCAGCCTTTTGCCACTTCCTCTTCATCCCTCTCCTCCTCCTCCTCCCTTCAGCCCCCTCCTCCCTTCAGCCCCCTCTCCCCTTCTTACCCGCTACAACCGTGCCTCCCCTCCAGTATTCCGTAGCAATGTTGTTCCTCTCCGCGATGTCGCTGTTCACCTGCACCTCCTCCTCTCAGCCCCTCCCCCTTCCCCCTTCCCTCCGATCCCCTTCCCTCTCAGCTCGTCCTTCCCCTCCTCCCCTCCCCTCCCCTCTCGTTCCTCCTTCCCTCTCCTCCTCCCTCCTCGCCTCAAGAAGACTTCCTATCTCCGTGAAGAACGTCCTCCCAAGCTCGTCCAGCGTGTCCCCCTCCTTCACCTGTGCCCCTCCCCTCTCAGCTCCTCCTTCCCCCTCCTCCTCTTGACTCACCCGGTAGAGGAAGCCCACGTTGATCGGTCGATCCACCGTGACGCTGTCTGGGTTACCTGCCCCTCCATGTCATGCCCTTCTCCCCTTCTCGCTCCCCTCTCCGCTCCCTCCCCCTGCCTCTCCCCTTCCTTACCCAGCCCGACGTTGAACGTGTACAAGGACAAGAAGTCCGTCCGGTACTGCCGCGCCAGCCCCTCCAGCGAGTCCCCAGCTGCCAGACACGCTTGGCACTTGGCGATGCTCATGTTCACGCAGCCTTCCGCCGGCACCCCCACGTGACATCCATCTCTCACCACCACGCAGATCTCGTACTCTCCTCCTTCCTGCCCCCTCACCGGCTTCCACATCAGCCTGCGTCCCCTCCCTCGTCAGCTCCCTCGCCCCCTCACCCTCCCCTGCTAGTACTAACAGACCACCAAGACAACCCCATAACCTCACTTCCCCCCTCATCGTCTCCGCCTCATCGCCTACCTCCCCGTCGTCCCGTTGACGCGTTCGCCTCTGCCCCCCCCTATGCTCACCCCCCGCTGTCGTCAGCGGGCATCGCCGTCCTCGTCGTCCCTCCCCCCCCCCCCACCGCCAGATGGTGAAGTTCCCCCCCCCCCCCCGTACGCCGAGTTGTTCCTCCTCCTCGTCTCCTCCCTCCCGTCCGCCGCTTGTACCTCCAGCATCATCTCGCATCCTACCCGCATCTGACTGTCCTCGCCCCCTCTCGTCAGCTCCTCTGTCTCCTCCTCTCGCAGCCCTCGCGGCCTCACCTGCTCGAGGTCGAGATGTTGAGGATCACGGGCTGCGGCGTGACGACGTCGATGTGGATGAGCTTGGAGATGCTGAGGGAGGGAACCTCTCGGCTGGTGACGAGGAAGAGGACACGAGCGAGACCAGCCTGCTGGCAGACGGGGGTCCAGGAGAATCTACGAGAGAGGAGAGGAGGAGAGGAGAGGAGGAGAGCAGGAGAAGAGGAGGAAGGGAAAGCAAAGGGGGTTAGGGCAAGTCGGGAGGGGACACGAGGAGGAGAGGGGAGAAGAGATGAAGTCGATAGTATCAGGAGGTGAAGGGACAGGATAGGGAAAGCAACGTATCAGTGGCTTATCGTCGGTTTGGATGTCTTGTTACCTCTGACCGACTTCGACGGGTTCACTTGCTGATCTTGTTTGTAAATTTGTTGTGAGATTGGAGAACGTGGCATAAGATGGACTTCCATATATCTGCAGCACGGCAAAGTCAGTGACGGATACTGTTCTTGTTCTTTGTTATGAGGCAAGTTGGGTTGAAAGCGGGTGTTTGGTCTGCCTTTGTGATCGATGATGCAGATTAATCTTACCTCGTCAATGCTAAAGATAACTTGTTGATCAACATTGCGCAACAGGACTTGAATCATGAAGTTGAGGTTGTCTCCGATGTACATGAGCATTTCGAAAGGCTGAGAGCTCTGCATGAAGAGAGTTAGAGGAGAAGAGTGCTTGCTACTTGTGTGTACGTTTCCTCCGGGTGTTGGATAAGTGAACTCCAGCGGCAACTGAAAGGAAGGCGAATTCAGTTTGAGACCACGAGATATGGCCCAGAACAAAGCAGCAGATAAATCCAGCAAAGGAGGGCTAGAATGATGATGATGATGATGATGATGATGATGATGATGATGATGAGGAGGAGGAGGAGGAGGATTACAAAGAGGAGGAGGATCAGGTGTACTAGGAGGAGGAGGACGAGGAGGAGGAAGAGAAGGAGGGGAAGGAGAAGAAGAGTAGGGTAGACAACATTTCTCTGAGCAAACAACAACCGATACGTGTCAACAAGGAGACATTCTCAGGAATTTCTACCCAGGTGAAGAGATAGATGGGAGGCAAGGCGATGCTCCTAGCTGGGGCAGGGCGGAAGGGGTCGAAGAAGTTGGAGGGAGTTTCTTTGAGGAGGAAAAGAAGTTGAAAACCATGCCGAGGAATGACAGCAATCTTAACGTCGGAAGGTCTCCATGAAACAGTAAGAACGTGGTACGACCCCACCCACTTGTTGTCCTGACGATGATGACGATGATCGTACGAACGAGGGCGAGGAGGAGGAGGAGGAGGAGGAGGAGGAGGAGGAGGAGGAGGAGGAGGAAGGGGGAGGAGGAGGAGGAAGGGGGAGGAGGAGGAGGAGCAAGAGCAAGAGCAAGAGCAAGAGCAAGAGGGAGGGCAAAAGATGAGTCCAAAACGGAACGAGGATGAATTGGATGAGAAGAAAACGAAAGTGAGAGATAAGAGTAAGTCAGTCATCACTTTCCTCATATGAATGACGATAATGAAACCTGACAGATGGTCGGGAAGGGGCATTGATGGCAAGAGCAGTTGAAGATGTCGTAACATGAGCACGTCTGAACCTGTTGCAAGGGTGGTTGTAAGATTTTCTCCTTGACATGTCCGACAACGGAGAATTAAAGCACAATATCATTCATGATGAGCGGTTGAAAAGAAGCAAAGCACGGAGAAAGCACAAACACGAGAACAAGTCACGCGACATTGCAAAGAGATGGAAAGAACACGTTCACGATCACAAGATTCGAAACAGTGTTCAAACACAATGCACATGACTACCTGACTTGTGATCTTCAAATCTGTGAAGACGGTAGGATTCAACAAGACAAGATCAAGTCGATCCAACGGATTTGCATCAACAAGCTGAATCTGCAAGGTACCAACTTGGTTGTTGCTACATCATCTCAGTCAGGTGTTGTTAGATTGTTCAAACAGAACTGTCCCATCACCCGAACTCAAAGATCTGCATGGCTGCATCCTTCATAGAAGCACTTCCCCCCGTCTGATAATTGAGGCCCGCAAGTCTGTCCATGTATGAGGCTCCGCTGACTGGATAGAGGAGTTTTCAGCAAGGGATAAGATCGATATCTGCCCTCACCGACTGCTTCTGATTCCGTCTGGTAAAAGGTCGACGTCATTGCGGTCGTATCGTTGAAAGACCTGAAGAAAATATCAGACAATGCTCACAAGGTGGCACAAGGTGGAGAGCATTTGCCAAGTTGCTGGGGTCAAATGAAAACGAAACTCGAACGTTGCTGAACATGTTTACAACCATGAACAACAGCACGCACAGCATCACATCGACATTCGAATGAGATGAGGGAAAATGTCTCTTCTCACCAATAGTACGCAAGTCCGTTCTGTTTGCATCTTGACAACAAGCTCGCATTGCAAGCTGTCTCGAAAGCATCCATGCTCAACTGCCATCCTTCTCTCACCTGACCCAAGAGCGTCATTCCTCTCCCTTCCTTGTCCGCACGTCTTTCATTACAGTCTCCCAGATTCGTATCTCGTCCATATTTCCGCTCAGGTACGAAGTTTGTCCCATTGCCTGTCAAAGTGAAAGGTGCGTCAGGTAACGTGAAACGTTTTCTGCTCTACCTGAAAATCTGCTCGGCCCCCGAGGGAGATCTTGTTGACGTTTCCTGTGCCATCCATCTTTCAACGACGATGCTCAAGAAGGAAGTGACCACCTGATCGGATCAGCGGAGGCAAGACGACGCTGTTTACTTGTTTTGCATCCACGTAGAACTGATCAGGGTTGTCAAGTCATACTTGCCCAGCGATGAAGATGAAGAACACTGACGTACTTTCATCGTTCCGTTGCTGTATGTTGCTGATCGATGGAGCAATCAATCGCACATCAAGGAACATGTCAAAGTTCGAGCTGACCTGAGATGTGCGTCCATGTACCGAACACGATGCTCTGACTCTCCGAGGTTATCTGAAAACTCAGTTGGTCATTCAAAACCTCAACAAACTGATCAGCTTGCCTGATAAAGAGTGTTGGATGATGACACAACGAAGCCTGCTCGTTCGGTCTGAGTGTTACAAAGACAAACATCCTCCCCTGAGGTAGAGGAGAAAGACACACCGCAATAGGGATTTGCGCTAGTCTGTCCGCAAAACAGCAAGAAACCTTCGTTTGTAGAGGATGATCTGAAAGAGGGTCTCAGCAGTGCCTCGATAACCCAATGATGCTATCAGTGTACGAGCTCATTCCGCATTGAACAGAGCAGGATCCAAGGTATGAAGTACCGCCGCAATCTATCACAATACTCGTCAAACGGTGCACAACTACCCGATGGGAGGAATTTCATAATTTCCTACTTGTCAGATTCAAGCAGCTCGTCGTGCTCACTGTGTTCAGCGTCCCAACAATGTAGTTGATGTCGCTCGCTGGCGTCTTCTGCACTAGCCGAACCTGTTGCTTCTTCATCATGCCTTCAGCAGGCCAAAGCGCTTTGTATCACCCAAGCCTGAACCGCCAAGTCCTGTGTGTTCAAAACTGCAAAATGGCCCACATCAAAAGAGGAGCAAGGAGCAGGAGATGGTGTTCGTACCTGGACTGGAAACCTCTACAGGAGCATTCCATGTCGTCCCAGAGACCGGCGGAGTGACCATAATGGAATATCCTGCCAGCTCAGATCAACATCCCCCAGGGCCCCTTTGCACCGTACAACACATCACTTCCACAGGCCTGAGGCTCCCTCACCGTTGAGGGCAGCAATCCCTCCCTCTCCCTCTCCTCACTCCCCAGCCATCCTCCTACCTGCTCGGCCTGCTGGCGTCTGCCCCATCACCATCGTCAGCCGCATGACGAGCAGCGCTGCGGCTCCCCGCCATCTTGGCGCCATGATGAGGTGAAGCAACGGATTTCACTCTTCTTGACAACCCATCCCGGAACTTCGACTCCTCTGAGGCGAGTGTGGCGTGGCAAATATTATCCGACCGGATACCGGGCCCGGCCCAGGCTGACCGTACACCGTGGCACTCAGTGACTGAGAGCGGGCGCCTCTGAGTCGGCAGTCACGGGGCCCGGCCCGCGGCCGGGGCCGGCGGGGGAGCCTCGGAGCCTGGCCCCCGCGGGGGCGGGGCTACCGTACTACCCGGCGGGCCCGGCCGCTAAACCCGCGGCCCGCGGCGCCGTGTCACGTTGTGGCCAAAGTGCCAATGTGCCTCCGGGGCCCGGGTGGAGGGGGGGCCCGGGCCGCGGCGTGGCAATTAAGTTCGGCCAGCGCCCGGAACCCGGCGTTCCGGGAACTTTGCCAGGTTTCCGTGCTGCGGGACGGTCGACCGGAGTCGGCGGAATGTCACACGGTGTTCCGCGGGTTCAACATGATAGCCTGAGCCCATTTGATGCCCGGCCCTTGAATGTGCCGCCCACCGCTCCAACGGTGCCAGCCTTCCCCACCCGCGGCCCTTACACGCGCTAGAACGCAGCACAGAGGAGTTGCCTTGGTGTGTGTGATGGAGTGAACTGGAAAATGAGATCGAATTGAAGTAGGCTTTCAAAGTTAGTGTAAACAGAGAGGGCAAATATCTTTCAACTTAGATTTTAGCACGTCAAGATCAAGCTATCGAGGGAACAAAGTGCAGCATCATCAGGCACATCATGCTCAGAACAAATAGGATGGGTATAGTCCACCAAGACCACACCGGCCAGAGTGCAATGGGGAAAGAGACTGCTGAAGTGACAACACAGATGGCAGCTAGCCCGATGGCCCTTTTCACAGGCTTGCTGTGCGGGTTCCCCGCATCTCTAGAATTGTAAGCTGTCTCCCACTGAATGTTATGCACGATTGCAAGCCAGAATATAAGATAGATCATCACTATGAGTACTGCAACACAACACAACAAAGCAAGGTTCAGGAAAAACCGATTCACCCTATCATCAACTAGCACCACTTGAACGAACTCAGTAGCGTTGAGAACAGCAAATCCTGCAATGAGCCAGCAGATTGCCTCGACTTTGCTCTTGATCTGCGCCTTTCTTGATCTCAAGTACTTGTTGTGCCAGTAATCTTCAACTCGGTTCCATTCGGCCGTTCCATGATTCGTGTTCGGGCGCAATCCTGGAATCTTGGTGATCTTTTCTGCATCCGCAAGAGCGTTCAAGATATTCTCCGCGACCTTTCTGCCCTGGGGAACCCTCGATCGCATTTCATTCTCAGGCGCATCTTGTTGCACGCTTGGGTTGGAAGAAAGTAGGGTGTCAGTCTCATTTGCATGATCGTCCTTCTCCATGCTGATCAAGCTGTCAAAAACAAAAGTAAGCGGGTATGAACATGTGAAAATCATTGTCGACATCATTTGCTGCGATATTTACCACACTTCAACGGCAGTCAAAAGTGTGCGAGAGGGTCCCAACCCTAGATTTCGCTACCTTGTTTGCATACTGAATTTAGGCACCGTATTTACTTGAATTTTGATGATTGATATAATAAACACAATCATAGCAAAACAGGGAGAGTTGACATGGAATCATTGCGAGGAGGATCAGTGTTGACAACAACGGAGCAGAAAAGGAAGGAGCAAATGCGATGAATACATAAATTAGGGACAAACGAGTGAAAATCTGGATCTATTGAGGATGTGCAGATCGATTCTGCAATTGGCTATCATGTACGCGTTCTTGATCGCTCTCGCCACTCTCTTGTATGCCCTCTACCATACTTCGCTCCTGCTGACCGACCCGACCAACTTCCGTTCAGCACATTGTCCTTCTGAGGCGGACTCAGCGACCTGGTTTGTGTGTGAAATTCAGACGGAGGGGTAGTAAGACTCCAGGGGTCAGAAAGTATGGTGGTTACGAGGACAAGAATATGGATAATTAAGGGGTGGGTCTTTTGATGAGGGGTCATGTAATTAAGTGGGGTGGGGGATGCTGTAGGAGGGTATTTTAAATATGAACATGGTACAGATAATAATTCTGAATCTGTACTGAATTGAGGGATCCTTCTGGTTCTTTTGTATTGAAAATCACTTCAATATATATAATAGTAACAAAAAAAGATACAAATTTTGTTCAGAATTAACTTATTTCAAAATTCCAAAAAAGCTACCAGATTTTAAAAGTGGACACCATTGGGAGACCACACAATCATACAGCGTAATCTACCCTACCCTACCAATTAAGCATAAACTTGGGTAATGATCAGGGGTATCCTTAGTACCCCGACCACCCTGCCCATCCCCTGAGTGCTCATCATAGACGTCACAAGGCAATGCTACCCTACCTTCGACACGACATACCCCCCAGACCATCTTGTGATGAGGACTCTTTCTAGTAATATCTCTGCAAGGCTGCTTATAGTAAGACATTTTATTAAGTAACAGTATCAATAAAAGTTTGATACCCACCGATATTCCATCTCTTCCCATATCACCCCGACCTACCCTTGAGAAACAACCCCTGTCAATCAGCTACCCCTACCCCAAAAGATCAATGACACCGGGTGGGTGGGTGGCCTCCTCACTCACGCGGCTATGGCGGCGGCTGTGCGCGCGCTGCTCATGGCGGTTGCGGGTGCCTGTATCGTTCTCTCCTCTGCTGATTCTATGGCCCCTCTTTCATCCTCTCCGTCCATGTCCCCTTCACCTCGCCAGCTTCTTGTACAGTCCATGTCGGGCAAGACACACGCTGTCCTGGTCGAAGACGCAGAGCGTTTGTCGGATGTGAAGGAAAGGATCATGCGCAAGGAGGGTGTTAGCAATGGCTTCTCGAGACTCGAATTCGGAGGCCAGGTCCTTGATGAAGACAGACTTGTCAAGGATTACAATATCCCGCAAGATGCCACTGTCCGCATGTGTCTGCGGGTTCGTGGTGGAATGCAGGTAACTTGCTATGATGCTCAGTATGGTTCTTTAGACAGATCTGTGTGTTGTCCCTGCAATAACGAGCGTGACGTGAATTATGATGTGTTGTACATTGCTTGTCCGCCTATCGTAGATGTTTGCTATGGATTTTCCGATGACTCACGGATTGTTCCAGGTTTTTGTGAAGACCTTGACGGGGAAAACTATCACCCTTGAAGTCGAGAGCTCTGACACCATTGAGAATGTCAAGAGCAAGATCCAAGATAAGGAAGGAATTCCTCCTGATCAGCAACGCCTTATCTTTGCTGGAAAGCAGCTTGAGGATGGCAGGACGCTGGCAGATTACAACATTCAGAAGGAATCGACTTTGCATTTGGTGCTTCGTCTGCGTGGTGGAAGTTATTGATACTCTACGCCCACATGGGTAGCGTTCACAACTCGGGAACTAAGGTGTATAAATTGAAGAATACATGAATCCTTATTGAGCTGCTTTTTAAAAGATGGCAAGCTGCTTTGGGGAATGATGTAATAACAAAGAAATTTGATTGGCAGAAATGCAGTTCGCACCCTAACTAGATGCAGGATTTTGAGAACTTGTATCTCGGTTGACATTCCTATTTGACAGAAAGTAGAATGTTTGAGATGTTGTCTGGATGCAGCGCTTGCATATTACAGTATGCACAATTGTGTGATGTAGTTGATGCCCCATCGATGACCTCCGTGGTTAGTTGCTCATCATGCTACAGAGAACTTGATCTCGTCGCAAGACAAAGTACTTGATCCGTCCAAGATGTGAGTTGGCACTATCACCGTCGCAATTGATGTTACTCGGGAGACAACGCATGAGAGCAACTAGTTGTTATGACACAAACAACTCTACTCAGTCGCACGCTGCAATATTCCATCCCACTTACTCCGCCCGCTCTCTTGACAAACAAGATGGCAAGCCGTTCCTAATCGCTTTCTTCTCCAAAGTCTTCAGAGGGCTCAGAGGATCTGATGCTACAGAACGAAATGAAAGGACAAAGATGTCGGCAGGAAGAGAGGGGAGAAAGGGATGGGATGTAGAAGGATGGAGAGGAAGTTGAAGGAAGCGGAGAAGGGAGGCAAAGACCAACGAGAGGGAGGAGGACAGGAGAGACAGAAGGAGGAGAGGAGAGACAGAAGGAGGACAGGAAAGATAGGAGGAGGAGAGGAGAGATAGGAGGAGAGGAGAGACAGGCGGCTGAAACAGGAGCCGCAAGTTCAGGAAGGGATACAGCATGACGAGAAACCGCAAATGATGGTAGAGCAGCAAGAAGTGGTCAACTTAGGGGGTAGGGTACACATTAGGCGCCCTCAGTTGGTGGGTCATTGAGTGGAATATAAGGGGGTACTTTATAAATCTATACGGTCCTAAGAGGGTAGGGTGGACGGGCGGGAATGGCGGTGGTTTGAACGAGATAGGGACAGGAGGGAGAGGAGGAGGAAGAGGAGGAGGAGAGGAGAGCAGAAGCTTGTGACTTGTTCGAAAACATGAATGTCATATGGGTGCGATCGAAAGGAATTAGGGTCAGAAGGAAGTGTGCAGGCAGGTACGAAGCTAGGACGTAAAGGTGTCTTGAGGGTACAATTCAAGGAGGTGAGGGGGAGATTGGAAAATCTCATAGCAAAGCGTCAGGCTGGGGTGTTCTTACACTACAGTTGGTTCTCATGGTCAGAAAATCAGCCTCGTAGACCTGAAAGTCTGTCTGAGAGCAAAGTGTTCGAAAAAAACCGACATGGTGTAGTAGGGAGGGGAGAGCACGGAATTGTAAGAGAATCTTCTTCAGAATCCTCCTGTTGTATCTTGTCTAATTTCGATGATTTCCTTCTATGACATTGTAATGTACCTGGTGACAGGTGGAGATGCTACGGATTTACCCTCAGTCCGCACGTCTTTTGTTCAGAGGGAGCCCCGATCATTGAGTGTTTGACCTCCACCCTCGCAAGGATGCAAGTGAAACTCGCCGACAAGGATGTAGCCCTCCTTGTGATGGGCTACCTGCAAGACAGAGGTTGGCTGAGCGCGATGACAGCTATGGAGGAGGAGAGCGGCTTTCAGATGGAAGACTATGGAAAGGAGCTGAATTTTCTTCGAAAGCTGGTCTTACGAGGAGAGTGGAAGAACGCGGAGGAGTTCATCAGACCGCTTCAGTCTAGCGTGAAGGAAGACTATGCTCGTGTCCTCTTTGCCGTGCGCAAGCAGCAGTTCCTGGAGCTGCTCGACGACGCTGAGAGCAGGCCCGAGCTGCCGGAGCTTGTCAAAGTCCTCAAGGGCCTGGAGGAGCTGTGTTCGCGCAGTGAGTTCAAGGAGCTGTGCTTCTTCCTCACTCTGAGCGACCTGCGCGAGCATGGAGACTATCGCTCTTGGACAGTTTCGCGAGGAAGATACGACACCTTCCAGTCCATGCTCAAAGATCTTCACCCACTCTATGGCAGCCTGCCGGACCCCAATTCGACCAGGTTGCACAGCGGAAGGCGCCTCCAACTTCTGCTTGAACGAGCTGTGCTCCATCAGGCCAGCCAGGTGGCTGGGAGGAACGGAGAGAAGCTGCTGGACGCGTTGGCTGCAACAGGCGTGACATCCATTCCTCTCCCCGTCCTGCACGATGTTTCCCCTGCGGACTTTGAAGCAGATACCATGAACACATCTGCAGGCGGAGCAGCGTCAAGAAGTGCAGTGCATGCGTCGATAGATTTCTCTAAGACGCAGAAGCTCCCAGGGTTGAAGGACTTCGCCGAGTACGCAGACGCGAAGTTGAGTGACCTGGGAAAGGAGAAGAAAGATGCACTGATCCTCCCGATCAGGGAAGAGACGATACAAGGGGAGAACGTCTTCCCGGAGGGTGAGCGTACTCCTTCCCCGGATCTGAAACTTCACACTCAAGGCCTGGAAGACCTCGGAGAACGAGATGCGTTGGATGCAGACATGCAGGAGCTGGGCAGTGCCAACGACGTGGCGCGGCAGCAGACGCCGGGGGGCGAGAACAGTCTGGAGGCACCATCACAACGCAACGGGCAACACCTTGAGGGCGACCCTGAGCAGCGTCTTGAGGCTGTCCAAGAGACACGCCATCCAGAAGACCTCGACAGCTCCAACATGAACCCACAGCAACTTGCAAGACAGACGATGGAGGATTTCTCCCATCCTCAGGAGGAAGATGATGATGATGATGATGATGATGATGATGAGGGGCAGGAGGAGGAGGGTCACACACACAAGGCGGAAGAGTCCAAGTCTGTGCGCAAGCCTGTTGCATGGACCATTGAGTTCGAGAGCCCTGAGAACGTTGTGCAATCCCCACCCATCATGTCGAGCTCGAGAGTTCGTCAGTCAGGAGGGATGGGGGTGAGGGGGAGCAGGGAGGGAGCGACGAGGTCAGGGCCGCAGAATAGGAGCAAGGAGAATCTCTCCTCGAGCAAGGGGAACGCGAAGAAGTCGGTGTCGACCGTCGGGCCTCTGGGAGGGACAGTCAAGAATGTGCAGGAGTTTGCCATGGAGGCAAGATTTCAATGCCTGCTGCTAGAATTTGAAACATCTGACGAGCTTTTGGCCATCAGGGATATCAAAGCGACGAGTCCAACGAGCTTGAGGAGGAGCAAGAGGTGAGAGGCTGTTGGCGCGTCGAAACTTTTGACGATCTTGACAGTATGAGAGGACGGGAGGCAGTCAGGTAACCCGAGAACCCTTGAGGCGAGCTCAGAAGGTTTAGCCTTACCTCACTTCCTACAGGCATGGACCATAGACAACGACGATTTCTCCTCACACAACTTCACCTTTGAGCATCAGGCGTCAAGACCTCCCTCGTCCAAGAACCGCCCGTCCTCCTCCTCCTCTCTCGCTTCTGACCGCTCGGGCTCCAACAAGCAGAACCCAATTCACACCCACCCACCGATACGAGAGCAAGCGGCTCCGAAGGGCTTCAAGGAGCAGAGCAGCAAGGCATTCTCTCCAGGAGCAGGAGCAGGAGCAGGAGCAGGAGCAGGAGCAGGAGCAGGAGCAGGTGGAGCAGGTGGAGGAGCAGGAGCAGACTGGAAGCGGGCGGCTCCTCATCGGACAGCTCCTCCTGACTCGCACTCGCATCATTTTCCAGAGGCTCGGCAGACCAACGTGAAAGTGATGAAGCAGAGCATCGTGACTGATGACGCTGGGGGCTACGAAGGCTTCGAAACCTTGGACCCTTCGGCCATGAAGGAGATCGACGTCCTCCAAGACTCTCAGGTTCCCACCCGCTTCGTCCTCTTGGATCTCACACGGGCATGAAGGTGATACGAACTGTCACGTGGAGCACCGCCCCGGACTCCAGGTGACCTGCCCGCCTTGCTTCCTTCTTGCATTCCTGCCTTCCTGCTTGCCTGCCTTGTTGCTCCTTGCCTGCCTGCCTGCCTTCCTAACGATCAACAGCTGCTCTCTGATCGCCTCATACAGCATGTTCGTATATGGAACAACCTCCAGGGCCCTCAAGTTCGCAGAGGCTTCGGCTCAGAGAGGAATCTCGGTCTGACTCTCCTCCCCCCTCCTCCTCCCTTGCTCCCTCGCCTTCCCTCGCTCCCTCGCTCCCTTCTCTCCCCTCCCTCCCCTTCCTACCTTACTGCCCATGTTGACTGTGATACCATGGAACAGCTCTTGCAGGAGCTGCCCGACTACCATGCCGGCTCCATCTACGCCATCTCGTGGCACCGCCATGGCGACCTCCTGGCCACGGGCTCCAACGACAAGCAAGTGCAAGTGGTAAGGGTCAGCAGGAGGGGAGAGGGCGGGGGTTGACGCCATGACAGACGAAGTTGACGGTGGAGAGGGACGGGGGCTTCTCTCACTCCACCCCCGTCCACCTCCAGGGGCACACCGGGACCGTCCGATGTGTCGAGTGGTGTGACAGTCTCAGCCCCTCCTGCCTCCTTTCTGCTGGCGCCGGCGATTGTGCCGTCCGCCTGTGGGACTTCAGCAGGAAATCTTGCCTTGCGATGCTACAGGGACATACGGATCACATCCAGGTTTCGTTTCCTACTCCCTCTCCCTCTCCCTCTCCCTCTCCCACTCCCTCTCGCCCTCTCCCGCTACCTGTCCCTGCTCTCTTCAGAAAAGGACGAGCGCATGCACGAGAAGAAGAGATCTGAAGGCGAATGAGGAGATGCAGACTGACGAAGCTGGATCACCACAAACAAGGACCTGGCGACCACGCGCTGACAGGTCGAGGACAGGAAGAGGCTGACCTGCAAATGAGAGGAAGAGCTAACCCTAAACTTGCAGCCTTCGCAAACCAAACCGAGTGCTCGCTCTGACACTGAGACTTCGACCTCCCCCTCACCTGTCCCCTCTCCCTCTTCCTGTTCCTGTTCCTCCTCCCCCTTTCTGGTTCTGCTTCCCTCTTCCTGCTCTTGTTCTCCCCCTTCCTCTCCCTCCTTTTCCTTCTCCTCCCCATCTCA